TCTAATGTTATATACTTCGGTGGTGGTCCAGCGAGGAAGCTACATGGAAAGTCAAAATCAAAAACACTGTCATTTAACGGCTACCTCCGCAAGTTTCGATTTGAGGGAATGGATGTTCTGGAAAATGCACTGTCAAACACAAATGGTTTTTCTTCCACTGAGGTGAATCGTGTATCGTCAGTTAACATTAATCTGATAGATGCAGAGATGAATTGTGAGCCTGATGATCCTTCGTCAGGAGATTGCACCAGTGACGATGATGACTCAGAAATGTGTACAACGTCAACACCGACACCTACCGGTAAGGATTAAGAGTCCGTTTTAACACGAGTCTGTTCTGTTATAGATCACCTGTGTGGCCAAAAAAAGAAAAAAAAAAGAAAAGGAAAATAATAGAACATCCACAATAAGACTGCCCTTTGTGAAACCTCTAATCGTTGAAACCGAACGCCGAGAGATAATAAAAGAAAAGTAAGACTTCGTTACGTCACTGGTTAATGGCCAGGCTGCTAAGCAAGCGTAATTGCTTACTACCTTTGAAAGTCAAAATTTCGCACATGTATACTTTTTAACGGCAAAGATATAAATCACTAAGTTTCCAGAACATATTTCTCCCTTAAGTGTCCATGTCACCTTGAATTCAGGAGGAAAATTCTTCTTTTTTTATTTATTTATTTATTTATTTATAGTAACTTCCATTTAGTGACAAAGAATAATGATAAAAGGAATTAAAAAAAAAAAGGTACTAAATGAGGGACTAACGTACGGACTCGAAGTCCCAGCGAAGTCAGCCCCCATAAGTATATACTACACTAAAACATATGTAAACAGAAACAATAATCAACAACAGTTCTTTCTATTAATTGAGCGACAATGTGGGCAGACTGTTTTCCATGTTTGAATTCTAGATGTGTCAAAATTAGCGATAAGTTTGTTAAAGAAATATTGGGGAGGGGGGGGGAGGACCACATAGGGGGACCACATAGACAAATACCAAAAGTTCTATTCATATTAACTATAGTTTCAGTGGGAGATTTCATTCTCGTATCTGAGCCATGACCTGACCAGAAATTCTCCTTTCGAGCTCTGCCAAAAACCACTTTGTAAATCATTTAAAAGAATTGGGCGTAAAGCAAAATGAACATACACTCTCAATCTAATAAGTGTGTGTATTATCATCATCTCTTTTGCTGGATAACGAATTGAAACTTTGAGATAGATAGACAGACAGAAACTTTATTAACGTGTCAAAGAACCTTCTAGTTTGGGAGATATCCCATACTAATGTGGGGACACAAATAAAATGAATAAACATTATTTACAAAGAATATTACCTACTTAAGAATAAAATTAAGTCATAATATGTAAGAAAAAAAAAAAAAATGAATTAGAATTACATAGAGCACAGCCCCTGCAGCCATCATCTAATAGAGAGCTGAGGAGATGTTAGTCTAGATAGGTAAACATTAATAGCGCGGTGTCAATATGCAAGAGTTGTCAAAATGTGGTCAATCTTTAGGTAACTTTTTACGCATTTTCACGAAAAAAAAAAGACTTTAACAGAAGTTTCCCAATTTAGCCGCAGTTCTCATAACATCTGTTTTTTTTTCCCCACGTTTAGCCGAGCTGACAACAAGAGAGCCTGAGACTTCCGCCCCGTCAAGTGACCCTCCTGGTGGACCAAATACCCCAACAAAGGCGAATGCAAAATTACGCAATCCGACACCAAGGCCCAGAGGTGTATCCGCTTGGGTTATCATTCTAATAGTACTCGGAGCAATGGCTATCGTTTTCATTGCGGTGTTTTTACTTTACCGCTGGAATCATCGCTATTCGGGCTCATTTAAACCCAGTAAAAATGAAGAGGGACAGACTCAACAGCCAGGGTCGGATACAGCTGAGCAGCAATTCCGAACGTACAATCAACCGGCGTTTTTCGTATACAAGCCTCCCAAAAAACCTACTGCTGACAGTCCAGTGTCGATTTAGAACTGTAGTGTATTAAACGTAGCACGCGGAGCTGATTGCCAACATTCTGCATTGGTATGAAGTGACGAATGGTGTCACACTTAAGAAAACAGAGATATATTCCCTTGTATCCATAAAAAAATGGATGGATCGACGATTTTACGGAGAAATTGTGAACCACAGAGAAAATTTACACTCATTTTCTTCATTCTCATTCTCTGTCCTCTAGACAGTAGGGAAATTGGAAGGAAAGCTAAGGCTCTGATCCGCTATTGGAGTGAAAGAACTCCCAGCTTCTCTGCATAAAATACTGCAACTTTGAGCACCAAAGCCTCACAAAACTCTACAAGAGCAGAATATTCCTTATGTTCTAATACAAGTAAAATGGTTGGGAAATTTGGTAACATCTATCAAAGCTTAACCCAATGACCGCTGAAAGATTGAAAAGACTTCATTTAACGATGTAGCCTGCCATTTGAAAATATGCGTTGTTATGCTTGCATTTACAACAAAAGGAAGCAAAACAGATAAGTACCGGGTCTGTCTACGTGTCATGATAATTTTGTTTGCATGAAACATCTCAAAAATTGTCTGACGACAGAGAGCTTCAGCCGGCTTATCTCACTGTTCATGGTGCGGCAATAAGATATTATTTTTCTCGGTTCCCATATTAACTACTGAAACTACCATTGAATGTTAATTAACCGAATACTTGACAATTATTCCACGAGCGCGCGTTGGATATGAGATGATAGATAGCCAACGAGGCGCGTAGCGCCGAGTTGGCTATAATCATCTCATATCCAACAAACGCGAGTGGAATAATTGTTTTGTTAAAACCGTTAAATTAAATTATTAAATTTCATTCAATTTTTTAGCTCCCTTTTAATTTTAAGCTGACGAGTGTGCTTACCATATTTGTAGATTATGGTATATTGGCTCATATACCATAATGGCTAAGCCAATAAAAGGTCTTGAATTACATTATCCAATGATCCAGTTTTTAATAATTTCAGTGACAGAAATAACTTTCAGTAGGTTCAAAACGTTTGGTAAATTTTCGCTCCGCTGAATTCTTACTGGTTGGTCTCATTTAAGAAAAACAGATAAAAGAAACAAAACCAAACCAGCCAACCTGTAGCTAAAATTGTATTGCTCTGTTAATCATAGGTAAGAGTACAACAAGTTTAACATCAAAGCTTTGTAAGTCTCGGGAATAAATAAAATTTGAGATAACAGACCATCTTTCCATTTAACTCTTTGCGCATCTGTGAGAGCACATCTACAGCGAATCGCGGGCTCACACTCGAAACGTCAACATTGAAATCTCTGAAAGGTAACCAATTTAACAAATTGTCTGAAACGTACTCATCATAAACCTGAACTTTCAGGTATCAGCGCGTAATATGTAGTACCTTCACTCGACTTCTTCCCAATTGGAACCGATTTAATCGAGCCAAGTTATCATGTAGAGATCCTCAGGGTTGGATTCGATCAATATTCCGATTTCTGTGGGTGTGGCAAAATAACAAGCCAGTGCACAATTTTTGGCGCTCGCCCTAAAGCTAAAATTGGGAGGTACTGGCCCCTGGACACCTCTGAGACTACTGTTCATGCCTACAGTAACTCAGGTTTGGATGGTTATGTTACCAACTCTCGCGAGCAGGTGCATATTACACCCAATGTACTTTTGGGAATGTATAACTTTCAACGAGGTTGTATTGTGGGTAGCCTTCGGCTGGCGCAGTGCCAGGCCGCAACGTCCACGTAGCAGGTGGTTGATACATATGTAATGAAACAGACAGAATCTCAAATAATTTGAATCATCTAGCCATGAAACAGGCTGAAAAAATATCATCTTTTCCCAACACAGGGGATCATATTTATGTTCTTCGTTCCTTGAGCTACGCGCATCACGGTGGGTTGCTTCAATCACTTCTGTTGCTTCCGTTTTTTCCCTTAATTTTTATTGGTTTTGATCCTAATTGAATGTTGTTTTGCAACCCTAATCCAGCCTATAAATTCGGAGAAAATTTTAAAATTACTGTTTTTTCATGTATCTTGATATGTAATAACGTTCACCTCTCTGATTAAGATTACGACAGAAAAACGAAAAATGCAGATTTTTTCTGCGCAGAGCTTCTCGATTTTGAGACTGTATTTTCTTGTAGTAGTATCTGAATCTAGCTATGACAGACATACATTATATCGTAACACATTTTCGGTCAATACTTCAAGATTTCTCGCAAACTTCATTCACCGGCTATTTTCTTTGGAAGACTTAAAATTTATTAAACAATGGGGACGGAAGGAGAGGATGGATTAAAAGCTTCACTGAAGAAAAGCAGGATTTTGTAAATTCAAATTCCTTATTAATACCATCATTGTTGTGATTATAGACGTGTGGAGGCGCGGTGGCCTCATGGTTAGTGCGCTCGACTCCGGATCGAGTGGTCCGGGTTCGAGCCCTGGCCGGGACATTGTGTTGTGTTCTTAGGCAAGACACTTTTCTCTCACAGTGCCTCTCTTCACCCAGGTGTATAAATGAGTACCGGCAAATTTAATGCTGGGGGGTAACGCTGCGATGGACTGGCATCCCATCCTGGCGGAGTACACTCCTAGTCGCTTAATGCTACAGAAACCGGAGTTAAGCACCGGCCAAATGGGCCACTAGGCTCGTAAACAGACCTTACTTATAGACGCTTGTTACATAATAACATTACGATAATGTGTTTCTTAATTGCTTACTGAATAATTTATCTAAAGCATGCAAATTTCGATCTTGATGGAGTTTGCCTTTTTTCAGTGTGCGCGCTCTAAGAATGCGTTACATCATGATCAATAATAAGGATATGCAATGGAATATGTCATGGAATACAGAGGAACATGGCATGCATATCTTAATATTTACCTTATCTCTGTGTACGGTTACAACCTTTCATATCAACGTGAAAGGAGATGATGATATGTGCAATACGCCTCCCCTTCTGTGACTCAGAATCGTTTTTCAATATCTATCTCATATCTGTGTACTCTTCAATCATGGATAGCTTATTTTCCGACAGGTATCTATACACGACGAAATAAAGTGGTGCACTTCCAAACACCTCTTGAAACTGGTCAAATGGACAGTTCAACGATTGCAGAAAGCGACTTCGACAAGTTCCTGGGATCTGACGGTCCCGACTGGTATTTGTACCAATACGGAGTGACCGAGGCGCAATTCAGCAGGAATCCGCGTGGCACATGCACCACAATACATAGCGATGATGTCACCACTGTTGTGGATCGCGCGCACAAGGCAATTCGGGAAGGATTTGGCCAATTTAATATTGTTGGTAATAATTGTGAAGACTTTGCATTATATTGTAAGACAGGCCGACGATCACAAGCAAGCGGTCAATATCTGTCAGCCATGCGCAGAATAGAGGCCGCGCGCCAAGCTGCGGCAACTGGGTACAAGAGTCCCATTGTATACGCGGGGTGTGTCATGGGATGGTTCTCTGCTGAAGATTTTGAAAATCCGAAAAACATGGACCAAGAAAGAGAGGACCCGCCATACGTAGACCCTGGGAAAAGGGAAACGGGAAATTTGGATCCCAACACGAAAAGTTCGAAAGCCAAGGTGGCTGCAAAAAACGTCTCTTGGAAGGAAAAATAGCTCCATTTTCCGTCCAATCCTTCTTAGAACTAGTTTGCTTGGCACTCATTAAGGTGAAAAGTAAGAGAATACAATAACTTCCTCATGCACCATTGGGCCACTAATGTTACGATCAGTCAAGACATGTGAAGACCAGGTTACTAAGGGACGCGCAACGTACCACGTGACCTGTTGATTCAGGAGAGATGATCCGATTCCAGGTTGATTTAACTAAATGTCTCTTTTCTGCTAAGATCAAAACGGGCATAAGCTATGGTGAAAGGAATGACCGAATTTGATCTAAAGGAAAATTTATTTGATAAATAATTGTTTTACTGGTTAATAATTAATTTATGATAATTTATCACATTGATATTTCTTCCTGTCAGAAGAGTTTTGTGACTTTTTCTCCCACAAAAGGGGTCATCCTCGGTGTAAAAACCTGACGAGGTTTTCTTTGTTTCGTAAGGTATTGTTTTGCTGTACGCTATTGTTTATAATGTTTTGTTGTCTTTGTTTTACGTCACTCGTGAGCTTCACAGGTTTTTACACCGAGGATGAGCCCACAAAAGGCTCTCACCTGCATCTGTAATACAGATGCTACCTGTCTGGATTTTTTTTTTTTTTTCAATATCAGAAAACTCTCCTAACTGTTTCGAGACAGTTTAAGCAGAATACTTCAGGAGGATTTAGCTTAACACAGACACTTTACAAAACACTTTACTTAACAACAAAAACAAGTTGTTTCGTGACAAGTGAAGAAGAAAATGTAGACTTCATATGCCAAACACAACGATGGAAATGTATCGAATACTTTGCCAGGCAATTCCGGCTCACCAATTTACGTTGCGTAGTTGGGGGAATAATGACGACGCGAGTTTCACTCGGCAAAATATTCGTCACCGTAAACGGGAGGTACTAGCAATCGAATAGGCAACCGAGTTAGCGTCAATGATAATTTCCCGGGTATGTACAAAGATATTTGAGGAAACCAATCTCTTCGCTTTGGTTCTGATGGCCGGATCAGATGCTTTGTTACAATTGATCCGGAGAGGAACAAAAGGCCAAAATTCTGAAAGAGACAGAACGGAAACACGTAATTTGGCTTCTTCGTATGCCACATGAGCGATCACGGATCAAGGGTTAGTGTTATTTATCTATTTTCCACCTCTTCTCCTTATCAATCACTGTTGAGTGTAATTTTTCAAATGCATTTCGGGTTATTTGTCTGTGGTTTCCTTCACGAGGTAAATCACATCCTAACATGAAAACTACTGTACACCAAAAATGAATACTTACAAGTTGCAATGACAGGGTAGGAATCTAACTGTGTTTGAATGGCTTTGGCTAATTCTTCTCGGTCAGCCTGAAAATATTTATTAACATCAGAAAATAAGAGCCAGCTTATAAAATGGATATTACCTGTACAGAGAGATCAGAACCACTTGATTTCTTTGAGTAACCCTTTAACTCACAGATGTACATTAACCAGGAAACAGGTGAAGAAAATACTCAGACGGTAGTCGTTATCATGATTTAACACAAAGAGGAAATGTGTAGCCACTATAGCCAAGACTTGACAACGAGATCTTAGCAGTTTAAAGGTTAATTGAGGTAGGTCTAAACTGTGAGTAAAGATTCATATTTTAAACTTCCAGCAAGATGAATACTGATAGGCTGATTGCAATAACTTGATTATAACTTTAAGTTACCAACGTCGTTTCTGCATTTAAGGCACATAAAGCTGCAATGTTGCTATGGTAACCTTACATGTCATAAAAATAATCAGAACAGATGGACAAATAACTGGATTTTTGACATGACATTGAATAGAACACACGAAAAAGGGTGGTACAAACCATCCATCAAAGATTTGGTGTTAAGAAATTAATTGAGAGAATATGGCCATTTACACGTTAACTGACCTTGTTCAATAGTCCATGTCTGATTAGATCGTCTGCCAGGTCCACTCCCTTATCCCCTGCAGAAAGAAAACATTGAAAATGGTGACTCAAGTTAAAAAACCCAAAAGGATATAAAATTATCAAAGCAAGAAAGTGCATGATACAACTAAAATGCCAATTACGCAACAACAGCTAGAAGTTGTTCATAGCTTTATTTCTCACTGGGAGAACAGAATGACAATGTAAACTGTACCTGAACGAAGATTGCACATAAGATGTCTATTCATCTTATCATCCAATTTAAGGAGTAATTCCAGCTGAGGAAAAAAAAAACCATTTTTATACTTTAGTGTACCTCACATCATGAATCAGAAAGTAACTTTCTTGTATGAAAGGTCTTATCTGAGGCTAACTCTTGAAACAGCTCAGTCACCTGGTAATTAATAATTCGCTCCTCTATATGACTTAGTTATGTCAAAGTTATGCCTTTATATAATAATAAAATGTGAAAATAAAAGTTTTGTTAAAGTGGGGACACACCAAAAAGGTTTGAAGGAAACAAAAAGGAACCAGGACGGTTATGAATAACTGAGATTAACACAAACTGAAAACGAAGAACTAAACAATTTCAACCAAAGTGCAGTTTTCAATTGGGTGTGGAAAGAAGTCCAGATTGCTTTGGTTTTGCTCTACTTTGCATCACTTTGTCAACCAATTAGAGTGAAAACTGAAACCAATTGCAACTTGTGTTTTCCTGCATTTCAAGCAGGTTGCTCATTCCTTTCCTCTGATTGGCTGTTATAATGGCCTGGGTTTTGGTTCTACAACACTGTTGTACTCCCAACACTGACCTGAGTTTGCTGATTACTGTCTGCATTGTCATGACTGAGTTTGATCTGACATTTGTTTAGAGTAGCCTATAAAAATGGCATTAAAAATCAACAAACAGAAAACAATACCTAATGTGAAGGTTAACAATTTCATAAACATTAACTTTATGGAAGTAGTACTACTGCTTCATTATCAAGACTTGATACCAAGTAAAAAGAGGGCTTCAAACATTGTCACCACTTAGTGTTTTCTTTCATCTTGAAGATGCCTCGCGTTTGCACTGTTATGCAGCCCAGCTCACCAATGAGTTTGTTACAGCTCAGTGAAACTGCAAAACTGAGGCTGGAATCTAAATGAGGAAAAATACATTCCTCTTTGTCCAGCACTTTTGTTAAGTGCGTTTGCTAACATTTGACCAAGCTCAGAATATCCAAGTTATGACTGTCTTTTTATACTAAGGAGATTTGATGTGGAACTAAAAAAACTTACCCTTCTAGTTTCCTCATCATATTGATGTTGATTTTCACTGAGGACAGATTCCTCTCCCTCAGGGGATTTAGGTCTAAGACAAAACACACAAACAACATGTAGAAAATCAATATAAAATGTTGTTATTAATTAAAAATAACTGTTTTCCAAGAACACAACATAAAAGACACCCTAACATCCCTGCAAACCTTTGTCTTGGTCTCAACTCTTTCTTTTGTTGCATTCCAGTGAGAGGAAACAAGCCATTTCTAGGAAAAGAAAAGAAAAATTCCAGTTACCTTTCAAAGAACACTCTGTCCACACAGAAGGTCAAGTCTTTTTCACCCATTCAAGTTAGGGCTTAGCCTGCTTTCCATGCTACTCCTCCCCGGTTTCATTCATACATTATGACCAATGTAAGAAGCATATTATCTTGGTTTCAAATGCAATTCCTGTTCTCATTCAAAGGTAAATAATGAGTTGCTCTACCCACATGAAGTCAGACACCTCCAAAACAGGTGCATTTTCAGTCTTTAATTCATTAACTAATTCTCTTAACAATGTTTTAAGAGCATTGAAAAGGTGTTTAATTTTAGTTGCCAAAGTTTGCACAAAAGAAATAACAATAATCACCCTGGGTAGGTAAGATAAGGAAAAAAAATGAAGAAAACGAAACAAAAGGTAAGGTACAGCTCCCCTAGAAATCTGTAACATTAAAGGAAAAAAAAAAAACATGAACAATAACCCTTACTTAGGTTGATTGTACTTTCAACAACTGCATGTAATGACTGACCTCACTTCCTCCAAATACTTTTCCAGTTCCAATACACGAGACTTTCCTCGCCTGTCAAAACAAAGTGATAACAGTTAAACTGTAATTGGTCTTGTTTTACAATCTCTTCAAAGATACGTCAAGGAAAAATCAAGACATATCTTTGTCCTTTCATCCAGCCATTCTTTTGATTTCATTCAAATGCAGGCACACTAGAAATTTATGATGATACTCAACACACAGCTTTGGTTTCTTATCTTACTAATAAAGAGTAAAAGTCATACTTCATTTCCTTTCCAACAGTTGCTAGCACTCTTTCAGGATCAGTGTCTTCACGATTGTCAGGAGGAGACACTAGAAAATCAAGTGAATGACATGAAACTTCTCCTGACAGTTTTGATGTCTAACCCAGCAAACAGAGAATGACAATTAACAAACCAGCCCGGAAAAAATTGGGATGTCTGGGTGTAAGATGATGATATTGTAAGCAAAATAAGAGAATTTACCATCATTATCTACCATGCAGTGTGCTGCAAGCAACTTGAGAGGATGAACCTGGAAAGGGGAAAAGCTTTCTTACTGAGTAAACAATCACAAAATACATACTAAGACAGAACTGTTCTCAGTGACTTTAATGCATACTACAATTAATTATGTTTTCTGGAAACCTCAACAACAAAATCTTATGAAAAGCATGACATGTAAATGCTGTAGACATAAACAATGTCCATGTTGAGAGGGTTTGCTATATTTTTTTTGTTGAAAGTCACACTCACCACAAAAAGACTTGGGTGCAGAAGTAAGTCTCTAGCAGTGGGTCTCTCTGCAGGATTTTCAGCTAAGCATCTCTGAATGAAGTCCTGTTGATTTACATTCCATTGAAAGAAGACAGACACTGTTTACTTCAGAAAACAAAAAGCTAAAAAGGTTCTCACAGTTTGTAACCTGTGACCTAAAATTAGTGCAATGAACTCTGAATCAAAAGCTCCAAGTTCAAGTCTGGCCAGGTCATTGAACCGTGTTTGTGGGAAGAGACACTCTACTATACTGTCACACAGGGTTCGACAACTGGCTACCTGCATTACTAGCCACCGGGCTAGTGATTTCTAAAATTTACCAGCCCAAAACACAACTTGGTAGCCCGGATCAATTTCCCTTGAGGTCTACTTCAACCCCAAACACACAAACCTTCCTCTAAACTTATTGGGAAGGTCTTTTATAATAATAAAGAATAGTAGAAACGCTTCAAGTGCAAGGTGATCATGCAAGGCAATGTGCAATGCATCGTAACATTGGTAAGCACAGAGCCTGGGATCTAGCGATATTTACGATCCACACGTAAGACAAAAAAAAAAAAAGTAGATGAAAGGCTTAAGCCTTCTTTATTGGTATTATCATTAAAATTTGAACTTTATTGTTTTTTTAATTAACTGTGAACTTCAGGTAAACTAATTATATAAAATTTCTCACACACAACTGGGAGCAATGCCAAGCCGACCATGCAGCCCAACCTTTATCAACACGATGAACCATTAGGGTTACAACACTAACAAAACAGCTGAAACTGAGCCTAGATACAGAAGACTGACATGCACAAATAACTGGAACTAAGGCACTACTTTAAATCCNGTGGGGAAGGTCAGGCAATGGTGGAAGGCAACAAAACAACTGAACTGAACCTTGAAATGCCATGTGACCTGGAGACCCCCACACACTCGAACCCATTCTCCCACCTGCGTGTGAGAAAACATTTTCCGCTTCTTTCGTCCCTCAGCCAGTGGAAAACCACACCTCTCTCAATTTTTCTACAGGCCAGCGGGCTATTACAGGTTTTTTTTTTTTAACTAGCCCGACCAAATTTTTACTAGCCTTGGGCTACCGGGCTAGCGGAGATGTCAAACCCTGTCACACTGCATCTTGTTGGGTATAAATGCCTCAGAAATTTTCAGATAAATCTCACAAAATATTGAGGGGGAGGGGCCGAGTGGGATATACTTTGATAAAAGGACATCCCATCTGAGGGGAGTAGCAGCACCTCTATTTACTTCATGCTAGCGAGAATAGGATAGACTCTAGAGCTAGGGGACTATCACTTACATTGTATATCAATTACAAGCAACCTTGCAAATAATAACTGTACCAATAATTAAATTTATGATCAAATTATCAATTTACTTGTGGTTACGACCACACTTTTATACCTGCTGGAATGGTATTTCTAATCCTGCAATTGCTTTGAAGACAGTATCTCTTGTCACTGAACCTTCATTGTCATGAAGTTCCAAGGCTGCCATCTAACAGGAGTTAAAATAAATTTGTTTTAACTTTTCCAGAAGTGAAACAATACAAGCAAGCTGTCTCAAAGTGGGTAGAAATGTCCAAAATAAAAATCCAACTGAACCATGTGAAATTGGATGAACACTGGCACTCCACTGGTACGGCCCAAAATTGACTGAAACACTCAAAATCAGGGCTGCAGTGTTTGAAGGAACAAGAGTGTAGATTAGAGCAATATGGTGGTAGCAGTGTATTCTCCTACTATATTCCAACAAAAATCCTTATTCAAGTATGTATCTTTTACCCGTAAGCAGAGCTTTCAATAAGACCCGGCACCCGCCGGCGCTCAGGCAGGTATTTTGTTGTGAGTCGCCGGGTATTTTTCACCGTGCTCAAGTCGCGGTTACCACGCTCAAGTCGCACTCAAGTCGCTCTCCGGTGGGTGCTGTACCGAAGTAGCCACCTAGTTCAAATCTTATTGAGAGTATTGGTAAGTATTACCTCAAGAGCACATATTCCAAAAGCATAAATATCAACTGCACAGTCAATGACATGTCCTGGTTTTCCTGTAAGTGAAAGTATTGAAAACAGCCTTGTTGAAAATTGGTCTCAATAACAGTGAGGAGTTTATATATTTCTTTGTTCAAGCAAGGTCCTATTAGGACACAGTTTTCTGAGGTAATATATTCCCTAGCCATAAAGAACAATCAAACAAACAAGCAAACAAATTAAATTAAGCAGTACCATATTCTGGGGCAATAAAGTGCATGTTTCGCATTTCTTCTCTGTATGTTTTCACATGATTGTGAATAGTGTCAGGAGCAACTGGAAATGAAACAAATGATAGTTACATTGAAGCAGAACACAAAAGACAGTTACAATGAAAGCTACTGTTTAGCTCCAAAGCCCTGCTTACCTGAACCAATTTTGATCAATCCATTGTGCTGGATAAATATTGTGTCACAAGACAAGTTGCCATGAACAATGGGTGTTTCACACCCATGGAGATAACTGTAGTGGAAATTAAACACTCATTAAAACGACAAGAAAAGGAAATGGAGTTTGAGTTTTCTGTTTGAGTTTGATGAGTTCTTAACAAGTTTGAGAGCACATTTTTTGGAGTTTTAAATACAAAAATCTGTGAATTATCTACCTCAAGGCTGACAAAATTTGCCGTAACCATCTTTTCCAAACCTGAAATGAAATAGTTCAAAATGAGATATTTCTGATTTGAATTGGTTTAAAAAAAGATTAAGAAGCTATGACTTGAAAACAAGCCTTCTGGTGACTTCTCTGTGGCAGCTGCTCTCCCTTTTTAAAGCATATTCTGTACAATGTTTGTGCAATATTTCATCTCTAACTAGCAATACCTTCTCATTCAAGGTCTTTAAGCTCTTTCGTGTCTTCTTCAGGAACTGTTTCAATGATCCAGAAGTCATATACTCAGTGATAAAGATGACCCGAGGTTTTTCTGACCTGGTATCTGTCCAAAACTTGTAAAATTTAACAATGTTTGCATGCTGTTTGAAAAAGCCAAACACAAGTTAGAAAGTTTGTCACAAAAGCTTTCATACTTGAAGAACATGCATTTCCTGAAAATTTACAATACAAAGGGAAATATTTAACATGAAAACTAAGCAAAAACGTAAAACACTTTGTGACAAGGCAGAGGAAAATCCTTAATATTATGATTATTATCATTGTCATTATTATTATTTCTATTATCATTACAATCATTAGTATTGTCCTTGTTGTTAGTTTTTTCCCCAATGACTTACATCCAACTGGATCAGATTTTCGAAGACAGCTTTAACATTTTCCTGCACATAAGAGAGAGACAATTGAAAAAAAAAGATTCAGACTGTATTTCACAAGCAATGGAAAATAAATAACATAGAATCTTGAAAAATGCACCAATCTCTCCAAAGAATAATGGCATTTCTTTATAAAAAGTGTACATTAACACTAAGTAAAGGTAATAAGTTAAACATGATTTTGAGAGCAATTTGGTATTAATAAGCACAAGCAAACTTGTCAAAGACAACAAAATTACACGAACCTTTATGACAAGTGCACTTTGTAAAAATTTACAGTGCTAGTGCTTAGTTACATGCCTAATAATAAACATGAAAAAATTACTCAGTTCTGATTGGTTAAGATAAATGCAGTTTTCAGGTAATTCAGTGCCGAAGAGAGCTAATTCAGTGCAGAAGAGGGTTAATTCAGTGCAAAGAAAGTAACAAACCAGACATTCTGATTGGTCAATAATCAAAGAAACTCACGGAATTACCAAACTCACTGAACAATTCCTTGAACTGTTTGGCTGGACTTTGAACTTTTTTGTGCCTTAAAGATATGAAAATTTCATCTTATTCTATGGTTTTGATCATACACAGTTGTTTTGACCAAATGCACAATGTGACTTGCAAGATTTGAATGAATTGATTTTGCACATGATGCGCGCACTTTTCTTCTGCATAATTATGATAAGCTACCTCGTATTTTTTTATGTATATTATTAATACATAATCACATGATTTTTCTCATGCAATTTAGATAAAATAAGCACTCGTAAATTTTTTCAAAGACCACAAATTGCTCTTGCCCTATGAGCTCATGCAATTTTGTTAGTCTTTCACAAAATTTACTAGTGCTTATTTATTCCAAATTGCATGAGAAATCATGTGATTACCTATACAAATTGTGCAAGAAATCACATTATTACTTACTATTAATTTACATGAAAGAGCATCACAGAAAGTCATATCACAAGAGTTTGACAGCACTGTTTGTAATTTGCACTCTTGTTAAATGCAGAATGCACTTGTTTTTAGCCAATCAGAGGTGAGTAATTTTTTTCATGTGTATTATTACAGTTAATTATACATTAAGTTCATATATTTAAGCACAATACCCAAGGTATACATGTCAGCAATTAAGTCTTTGTCATCATTTAAATATACCTCTTGACTTTTGAAGGATTTTCTTTCAGAAAACTGCACTTCATTCCAAACTACTTCTACACCTTCCTCTGTGTCCATGGCTAAAAATGAATGGTCTATACCTGGGACATCACGCTGCATCACCTATAGAATGTGTAAAATCAAAAGAACTTTTACTTAGTACTTTTCAGTGGAATATTGTATTGTATTGTATTGACAGACATGCAGGACAGCATTACTTTCCTTTAAACAAACGTACATTTTCCGATAAATTTTACCAAATAAAAACCAATGATATGTATTTTTGTATTACTCATTATTTTGTCATTTTTTTAAGGACAAGTATCCACGAAATTTCTTTCAATTAAACAATACTTTCTTACCTTACAAGAGTAGCATCAATCATTTTTGAAGATCGGGTACAACACCATTATAGAAAATATAAGGGGCATTCTACTTTTAGAGGCTCATGTATAGTGAATTCTTGAATTAATTGCAGAAACCAATTCTAACTTTGTTGCATGGTCCACTGATTAAACCAATTCTAACTTTGTTGCATGGTCTACTGATTAATGATTATACAGTGAGCATTGAAAACACGCTCACAGCTGGTACAGGCCATTGGTGTTTTGAAATCAAGACTTACCTCTTGCCTTCTCTTCTCCCAACGTCCACAAGGACTTTGCTCTACTACATCATCATCATCTTCATCACTTTCATCTCCAGAATGCTCGTTTCGAACGTCAATGATTCCAAGCGGCGTTAAATTGTTCGCCATTACGCTATTGTTTTTTTAACCTTCACGAATCTTGCACTCCAAGGAATGGCCGACTGCAGAGGGTATTGACGAGCAAATGAATAAGAAGACTGAGTTCTAGTTGACTGCTTACTTGAAAGAAACGCAGGCTCAGGACCAAAATTAAAAAATGGCTAGGATGTCTCGTTAAGCCTACATAAAGTTCTGGATACCGAAAACAATTATTTTTTCCTTTGCGACATGACGCAGAACTTGCGCAGTTACCGATAAGATAATTTGTTTTCTTCCGTAGCTCAACTTCACTAAATCACCTTAAAAGTGAGAAGACTGCAGGTTTAGACTCTACATCGCCGCTTCGAGATCCAAGAAGAGATCAGGAAATTAGTAGTTAGACACAGTTCCGGTCATTAAAGGTTTGTCGGCCTTTCGTTTTCATCTGCAAAATCATGCTTGTGCTGTCAGAATTGCTTGTTGCCCGTTGCGAGCTTGTCTGAACAAACTTTATTTCTCTCTACCTTTGCTTTGTTGTGGTATGTAAAGGTTTAAATGCATTGTAAAAAGTCAAGTGTTTTTTTTCTCTTTTCACTGCCTCTAAGAGACGGATCCACCTACATATCACGTGATGTTGTCGATTAGCAAGCACACAGTTAAACAGTTAGCGCTTTGAAACTGGAAATCAATTTTTTTCAAGTGCATTTTCTAGGGGTTTGATTTTACGAGTAATGGAAGTTATGTTGTATCTACAATGGGGGAGTTTTGAGTCATTACACTTGACTAACATCTTCTTGCACTAAGAAAATCAGGGGAAAGATGAAATAAGGTATGAGACCAATTAAGCATTTTAAAGTAAAGATGGTATTGCAAAAACTAAACCTGCTGTTTGAGTGGAAACCTAATTGTACTTCCTGGTTAAGTTAATGATCTTGGAAACTCATTCAAACCCTGTACATTTTGGATTGTTAGACAATGCATTGTTACTGGATCCAAAAGGAACAGTTTAACAATATGATAGCTAAATGAATGCAGTGGTGTTGTTTTTGTAGGAGTTGTGTCTCTTCTGAACATACTAATTGACCAAAAGGTTTGGAGCGAGGCTGGCATTTCATTCTTAATTATAGTTGTCAGTAATATTTAGAGTACACCTTTGTGTTCATTTTTGAATTTTGTAGTTTATTCTGCAACCATGTCTCGTGGTGAATTTGGTAGTCCCTCTTATGGCACCCTTTCTCCAAATGTGAGGGTAAACTTTGATAGGCCATCATCCAGATACTTAGAAGGTAAAGTTGGCAATGTAACATTGGTAAAGGATACTTAATATACACTAGGCACAGTCAGTCATTTATTAATTTATTTGTTCTGTTTATTTCTGATGATTTAGGAGAAAATTTTCAGATTCTCAGTGACAATGTTGGTAGCAACATCTTCCAAATTAACAACAACAGTAAGTATCTGATGACTGGTTATTTTAATCAATCCTTTTTGGTGTCTTAGTTGCACTACTGTCTTTTAATACATCACATTGCATGTGACTTTGAATTGCCACAAACAATTGAAATGTATGGTTATTTTGAATTTATTTTGATTTCCTCCTTAGCTGCAGCATTGGAGCGCACCCTTAAACAGTTAACAGCAGGCAAAGATGGTCAAAGCGAAAAACTGTCAGTTGATTTCTGTCTTTGTTAATAAATTGTTCTATATACTACACATAGATTTGTAATCAGGGAAAGAAAAATATTAAATTTAATTGTCACAATTTTGACGATAAGACATAGACAAATCTGAGAAACCTGTAGGTGAAATCTATCACTTGTTGTCCTGTTGAACCTTTATTGACCTGGCCAACCCTTAGAAAAGAACTCAAGAAGAGGGAGTAGCTTAAAAAGAGTTGTAGATTTTTCATTATCATGTATGAGTTCACCAATTATCTCTTCTTTACAGTCATAGTATACAGCGAGCTACAAATAACCTTGCTGGTGAAACAACTGCCATGTTGAAACAGATGAGTTCTTATTGTGTTGGAAATAGTCCCACAGCAGTAAGTGGAAATTCAATTGAACAATGATTCATTCACATTAATGCCAGCTTTTTGGGTTACAAAAAGATCTAAATGTTCTTTAATTGAGGTTTTTTAGATCAAATGAGGAGTATTGATTTGAAATTTCAATTTCCCAAATTGACTGTAGCATCTTCATTGAATTATTTTTGAGTTCCAAAAACCTTTCCCATGAAAATAAATTACATTTGCAAAAAAAAAAATCATTTTAAATGTTTTAAAGGTTTGTGTCTGAACCTTATTTTAAAAACAGAAACCAGTGGAAGTTGAGAACTACTGGGTCATGTTTTCACAAACTGGTAACCTAGTAAACACATATTTTATTAAACGTTTTGTTGTGAAGTATTGCTGAGTATTTTTACAAGTTTTGCCGTAATTTGACGAGCCCATAGGGCAAGTCAAAATACAAACAACCAGTAAAAATACTCAGCGATACTACAAAAGAAAACATTTAATAAGAGATTTGTGATCCAATATGCCAAATTGTCATTCAGTGCAGGTGAATTTTGCACTTACTTCTGGAATACAATTATCGCGTGATATTTGTACTCGTCTATAGTGTGTTATTTGTACTTTACAAAGCACATTTGGATGATAATAATAGTATATACACCGAATCAAAATATGGTGTCCAATTTGAATTACCATTGTTCTGGACTGACTAACCTCTCACACATGTGATAATCCTTTTGTTTCCACGTCAAGACAAGGCTAGTAAGTCCAAAACAATGGTAATTCAAATTGGACACCATATTTCGATTCGGTGAATACTATGGATTTACTTGATTGTAGATTATTGTATTTTCCTTTTTTTATTTTAATCTTAAGAGGCAGCTGAGAATACAACATGAAAAATTAAAGGGAGATTTCAGAGATTCAGTTTCACGTTATTACTCCGTTCAAAATGTAAGTAATGTAAAGTTGCCACTGTTTTGCTTTCTTTACTTGCTTGACATGATTATTTTAAAATATGAATATACCTACACCTTTTTTCAAAGTTGCTATTAATAAGAAACAAATAATGTTTTGAGCTGTTTTTATAATCTTTGTCTGTTGTTATCCCTTGTAGAGAGTGGTTGAAAAGGAAAAGCTTCTGGTTGGGTCAACAGGACTATCACAGGTGATCAGAAAATTGTTTTTCAAATTTTTGGTTTGATTGCAAGTCTACCATGTGGATATTGCACATGTAACAACTATGAATTTAGTTTCTCTATCATCAACCAACATAGGTTTTTTTGAAAAGATGAATTTTTATATTGGACCTAGCATCATCAAGTTGTTAGCAACAGCTAGCTTCTTTTAAAACACCTTGTGATCAGTGTTAGAGGAGAGGTGCAGAGGAAAGATTGAAGCAAACTCCTTAGCAGCAAGGAGGTCCTGTGGCAATCAAATCACAGCCCACAGGATTGACTTAGTTTTAACCCTGCTTAAATTACAGACAGCTCCCTTAAAGTTTATAGAAACACTCCATTGATTGTGGTTATTTATGTGTTCACTGCAGCGGCAAGATAGTAGAAGATATGGAGACGAGTTTGGAAATGAGAAAAGTGGCTTAATTGAGGATGATCAACAAAGGTAAATGGAAAGAACTAACACACCACTGATGGAAATGATGATGATCAGAATGACAATTATTTGGATTGTTTTTAATTTTCATATAAGAAAAAAAGACTAATTCATCAGTATCTTTTTTTGCCATATTAAACCTTCACATTTCATATATTTTTAAATTTGTTACCTATTAGTTTTTCCACAAAATTTAGAATAATGAAAAAATTTATTCCTCATTTTAAACTGAAAATTCTTTTAAATTTGGAAGATGCCTTTGAAACGATCTGGTGTTACATTTCAACTATTCCCTTTTCTGCTTATTTAACTTATCCAATTCCAACACCATTGTGATGCCAGACAGGAGCAGGAACAGTTGGACATACAGATTGACATTGACCAGTCACTGATAAGAGAAAGAGAGGACAGAATCCGACTGATAGAAGTGAGTAAGAGTTATACTTAAGTTCCTATAAGATGAACAATAGGCAAAGTTTTATGACAATTTGAGTGAAAAAGTGTGCAAAAGAATTAGAAATCCAACATTCTGTTGCCATTAATATGTTGAATTGTCTTGAGATTTTTGTGAATCTCTGCAACTGTAACCCATGTGCAGTCATCCTCTCCCATCCATAAATTGGAAAAGAACACCTTCATGCACAGAGTTTTTACAGGTCTTGGAAAACCTGGAAATTCCTGGAATTTTATTTTGACATTTTCCAGGACTGGAAAGTCCTGGAAAAAAAATTACAGGGTCTGGATAGTCCTGGAAATTTTCTTAAATCAAGCAATAAAGTTTTTAGAATTTTACGTTATAAGATGTGTGTAGACTGCGAGGAGGAGAATTGATTTTGAAATCTTGGGAATGAAAGGGAAATAGGTCAAATTTAGAGCCATCGAAAAATAAATCTGAGCCTGGAAAAGTCCTTGAAATTTGTTTCTGAAAAGGGTATGAACTCTGCATGCATGTTATGCTGAACTATTGTGCTTTTTGTATTTTGTAGGGAGATATCATTGACATCAATGAAATATTTCGAGACCTAGCAACGATGGTTTATGAACAAGGAGAACTAGTTGGTAAAAAAAAATCTTGTCAAGTTTTGGTAGTGTTAATTTTCTGAGTTGGTACATTTCACTTCTTTGTTATATAACGGACAGGGAGGTGTTACTAACAGCTTTTTGCAGTTTTGGAAGCAACTCCTCTTTTGAAGTACCGTATGATTAGAATTTTTCACTTTAAAATTAATCAATTCATTAGTGTTATGATATGCTATGAGGTTGCCCTTACATCTGGATTGTATTTTGTATGATTTAATCGCAGATTCAATTGAAGCAAATGTTGAACGAGCACAAACAAATGTGGAGGGAGCTAATGTCCAACTTAGTAAGGCCAGTACATACCAGGTAAAGCAGTAATTGAGGCTTTTAAAATTCAGAAAGTCTGTTTTTGGTAAGATTGATTAGGCCAAATATACTCTTGAAATAAAGTCTGGTTGTACAAGGCTGACTCAAGCAGCTATCAGAAAAAAAGTGTTCAAAAAAGTGTTAAAAAGTTTTCATAAACAAAAAAAATTATGGATGGATTATGGGAATTTGTTTCAGTAACATATGACAGTACTGAACTAACATAATTTCTTCTTTCTTTCTTCTTTTTTCCACAGAAATCAGCACGCAAGAAGATGTGCATTTTACTTCTTATTATTGTGATTGTTAGTGGAGTTATTGGCATAATTGTTTGGCAAACAAATTAACAAGTATTGTTGTCATAGCAAATAATGTCAAGATGAAGACCCAAATCAGCAACAGATAACCTCTAGGTCCAGAAACTGATTCAATTTTCAATTAAATTGGTAAGAGTTTGAAATATTTGGTGTTCCTCAAGTACATCACTTGAAATGTGCAAAAGGTATTGGAAACAAAGACATGCAAAAGCTTATGTTCGTGAAGGAATGTGGGTGTGACCTTTGGGTGTGACCTTTGGGTGATGACAAGGACTTTTGCTGAAATTGTACTCGCCACACATGTTCAGTATATGAAAAGTTAAAGTATATACATACAGGATGAAATAAAACTTAATTCACCAGATTGTAAAATAGAGAGTTACTGTATTTCAACAAGTTGTTAATGAAATAAAAAGAGATATGGAGGTGTCTTGTTTAATGGTCCATCCACGTTCAGTCCACCTTGGATTTTCACCACGTCCGCCAAAAAGGGAATGGGGACAAAACAGACCTCAGGCACACAAAGCTCCATAGTGTGTATGACACTGAGTACTGCTCACTTCGTGAACATTTCGGGCCACTTGATTCAGGGTTAAAATTTAAAAAAGTTCATACAAGAAAACAACTTCTAAGTGTTCAGTGAATCATTTCCAAAAAAATGTCCTAACATTTTTGTACATCCTTTGATTTTTTAAAGTTCTTGTACACAGTTGACTAACTAATAGTACTTCTCAGATCAAGAAACAGTTGTGACAATGATAAATACCAACTTCTTCCACAGGTAAACCAGACTTTTTCTTGCACAGGTCAACCAGACATTTGTAAAGCACACACCAACTATCACAGCCGTACAATGGCCATAAATGTAAACTGTTCTACTGCTGAAGCCAAACACTGTAGCTCTTGCTAATATTTTATGTTTGTTGCTCCTTCCACATGTTGCTAAAGGAGTCGCAATCTGTTCTTTTTTGTCTATATATCTTGTTTAACAAAAGCCATGGTATGGCTCATGATACAGCACAGTTATATTCCACTAGATTTAAAACTACCATCTTAGACTCTTGTCTGGCATGAAACTTCAACTTAGGATTCAACCATTTTGAATCTTGAAATAAGCTAAAAAGCCATCTATTAAACAACTGCTAAATGAGCAAAGAAGGGGTTGGTTTCTTTCCAGGCCAAGCTTCCTTAGCATACTTCTTCTTTTTAGGAGCTTCTGTAATTGTCTTTGTTGCATTTTGCATAACAGGCCCAGCAGGGATGGGCTCTGGAGCATGATGAACAGGGACCTCAGCCAACTCTGGTGAGGACACATCAGGGGCTGATGTGATGGACAGTCGAGGTTTGTGTTGTGCCATGGGTGAGGTAGGGCTTGTAGGTTCTGTTACACTCCCTGTGCCTGGGAGATTGGAGTAGAGACCCTGGGAGTAGGGAAAGCTTTGGAGACGGCGCGTAATGTTCTCTGTAAGGCTTCCTACTGGTGAAACTGGTCCTCGCATTTTCTGCAAAACAACAGTCAAGCTGAAATACTGAGAGAGAGCCTAGACCGGGTTTTTCAGAGAATGATCAAGCTAACTATATAAATATATATATATAATATATTTAATACTTATATAGCACAAAATTCATTATAAGTATACAATCTATTGCGCTTTACAAATAAGTTAAAAAATATCTGAAAAAAAAAACCGTGGGGAATATGATAGTTATCTTAATTTATTGATTATTAAATTTTAGTTAATCGACAACTCATGTTTGAGCTTTGTCTGATGCCCAGTAATTTTCACGTGCAACCTCGTTAGCTGAACTTATGAACCCTTCATTGTTTATTTGACCAATCACACGTCACTCTGCAATGTTCAATAACTTGCATTCCCACGTGCTTCATCAGTGTGTTTTTTCTTCGAGGCCAAGCACTATCTCGGTCATTAAGTTTTCTTTTCAAATTTGCTCCCATCCCACCCAACACTTTATTTTATTCTGTTTTATTGGACATTGGACTTGCGAACAAATTAAAGCCCTCAAGTAGTAGTCATTTTCTACGCGACTGGGGTAGGCATTTTATATAATTATATATAATTTTGTAAGACTTAGTAACTTTTGAAGGCTGTATTATTGTAAGCAAGTTAACTTAAAGTCCTAATTAATTTCTGTGTCAACACATTGATTTCCCTTTCAGTTAGGTGTTTTCAACTCAAGGCGATGATATCACATCTATTTAGTGCATGTTTGCACTTCTCCTATGGAATCAGTTGTGTCTTATTAATAAATCATTGGGAATGGGGATGAAGTGCTCCTCTCGTCACACTTTTGCCCCCATAGATATGACATTTTGTACTCCTGGAATGTATGTATAGCATAGTGGGGGCCCTAGGGAGGCCCACGATTGGTCACAGCTGACCCTGAGGGTAAGCCCAATCCCCTCCCCTATATCAGTCTGTGCACCTTCCATATCTACCCAGGAATGGTCACAGTTGGCCCTGGGAGGAGGCCCAACTCCCTCCTCCATACTGGTGGGTGTACCACCCTGGTGGTAGGTCTTCTCTAGCTCATAAAAATCCAGTAGTACATGGGGCTGACCTTTTAGGTTTCAGTGGAGCACTTTGTCTCCCACTCCCCCCTCTTCAGCCACACCAAGTTGTTGTTTTGTTGCTGTTCAGTATAATATTTTTGGTCCCCAAACATGAGGAAGTTGATTAAAAATTACAAAACTAAAACTAAGTTATATTTTAACAATTATTGAAAAAGCGATAAAAAATCTATATAGTAGATAGTTTAAAAATGAGATAGAATAAATATATGAATTTCATATATTTTGAACTGCAGTATTAGATAAATATATGAGTTTATTACGAATCAACTTAACGGCCTGCTCCCAGTTGGCTTGTTAGCTCAATTGGTAGAGCGCTGCACTAGTATCGCAGAGGTCAGTGGTTCGAATCCCGTACAGGCCTGATTTTTTTCAGGTCTGATTTTCGCTATTGCTTAAATAGCGCTATCTACTGCGAGGATCGTGTATCATATGTAACAGTATGCTTGTTTAAAAAGATATGTTTTCAGTTGTTTCTTAAAAATATTTACACTATTTACAGCCCTTAGGCTTTCCAAAAGAGAGTTCCATAAAAATGGGGCAGGAACCTAAAAAGCTCTGTCCCCAGTGGTCTCGGCAGATCTAATTGCTGGGCGAGCTAATAAATCACTGAAATTATAAGACTTGGTATAAATTTTTGATTCAGCTTTACAGCTTTGTAGTTTGTTTGACTTTTCATATTTTGTCTTTTTACAACCCCATCATACATTGGCCAAAATGTTTCTTTCTACATAAAAGAAATCTAAATCAAGTGTAACTGTTAACCCTGGATTAGTTTTAGCTGCCTTTTGAATAACTGGCCCCTGAACTTTATCTATTGCTTACTGCTTTTACAGATGCTAAAAACTTTGATATAAAAACAGTTTCCCTCATTCATTGAGGAGAAGCAGTATCTTGTTTATATGCTATAATTTCTACTAAATTCCACAAATATATCCACAAATATCCACAAAATCCACAAGTGGTAGTTTACATTTCCGACAAAAGTTGTGTTCTCCCCTTCTTATTCTTTCCTGGTAGTCAGTCTGAATTCAATTTTTTACAAAATAATTTATTATTTTTCAGAAGTGTATAGCTTATTTGAAAACAAGATATGAATGCTACATGGCATCAACTCATCAATGACAAAATGACCAGTGTTTGACCAGAAAAAACATATTTCACATTGTACAGTACCTTGTTTGGAATTACAATAGACGTTTGAACCATATTTCTAAACTTTCCTACTGTGGGGTCAATATCCTCTGAAATAAGGAAACAAACCAAGAAGAGTCACTGCGTTAAATGTGTTTGAGGTAACTTAGCTTTTAAACACTGTGATCAAAGATACTTCATAGAAATGTCTCATAGGAAAGCAAGAAGCTGTATCAGTAATCTGATTATAGTAAGAAGACCAGGCCAAAAGTAAACATGTGAAATCAGCAAATGGCTGGGCTGGCCAACGTGCTTATATCAGAGTCTCAGTTTGTTGGAACTTCTTATTGTAAAAATGGGATTGGCTGAAGTGTTCAATGTCTTGCAATTGTGATAAATATCATTGAAGTTTTCAATATCTAAGTGAATTTGACACTGCAGGTCCAGTTCTTCTTTTGAACTGTCTCTACATAGAATCCTTTTAAAATTGTCAACCTTTACAGTATGCAGAACACTAGCTGGTAATGTATCTGAACCTAGTATAACATCTAGCTTAGCATTGAGATCTCTGCAGCCCAGTTGGCACAACATCCAACCATAAAACTGGAACTAGCAGGTCTGAATTCTCATACACAAAGTATACACCAAAATAATTTTTCAAATTAGAGGAGGTTTTCAAAGTCAAAATTGATCAACACAATGTATATATTTACCTGGATTTATAATTTCTTCTCCTTCTCTAAACTGAACAGATAATGAGGACCTACGTTTCCGTTTTAAGGATGTGACACCTGGTAAATTTGTACTTCCTTCCTCAATGCCAAGAGATGAAATCCTTTTGTTATGTGCCGTGTTGAACTCTGTTAAATCCTGTTTTCATCCAAAAATATAGCTTGGCTCAGAATAAAATGATATCTACAATTATCTTAACTTGCAGTGTCTCTTGTTACTTTGGTCATTTTGCCAAATCTCCAAAGCAGTGGGATATACCCAGACATATTTAAACCTGCTTAATGTATTTCTGCAAAGTGCACATGGTCATTGACATTCATAAACTACCCTTGTGGTTTATCTACTTGCTACATTATCTTGAATAACAAAAAGTTCATTACTGGTTGACAGGGTGTTCGATTACAAAAGTTCACCCTTTGACTTCTCAATTATATAGAAGGCCAGTCTAACCTTTGAAAACTATAATTATCAATAAATGATAATAATCAATCATAATGGTGTCTGCATTAACTTGACAGAGGAGTCAGCTGAGTACAGGTTCAGTTTATAACTATCAAAGGAAAATGTCTGGGATTTTATGTTTGCTAACAAACGGGGTGTTGACCCTGTCCATTGACCCCTTAGAGTAACTGGCATCTAATTTCTCTTTACAATATCACCCCTGAATCACACAACAATAAAGGAAACATTCACCAACTAAACTCCTGATTGTTAAACTAATTCTCCTTTTCGGAGAATATGCATATTGATATTATGAAGTGGAGGGTTAATTAAGGGTTTTCTCACAACAGGTTTCATAGTAGTTGTTTGTAATAAAATCAAAATGTAAATTCTTACATCTAATTCTGTGTCTGATTCAGGAAGTCCCAGTAATCCTCCTTTTGAACTTTCTTCATTATCATCCTCCATTTTTCCTGAATCATCTGCTTTAAGTCCAGTGTTTGGAATTGCTGGCTTTTCTCGCAGAACATAGCTTCTAGAAGATGCACCAAACCTTATCACACTATCTACTTGAACTTGTGTTGGTTTTTGAGGCTCTAAACGTATTGTTCCAATAAAAGTACCATGTGCTAAAGAATAAGACAACAGAAACCAAAAACATGTCTTTGTCAAGACCAATGAAATTTATAACAAGTAGTAAATATTGCCTTTTGGTAACAGTCAAAAAAGTTCAAGTGCGTCCTCGTATCAACCATTGTCAAATGCACTGCCTTGGTACACTGTTTCAGATCTTGTCTTGAGAATGAATGATCAGCAACTTAGTTCTCCTAAATATTTCAAAATGCTTTAACTAAGCCACACTGTCTTTGATATCAGACCAAATTATCAATATTAGCCAACAAAGAAATGTTCCTTAGTCAGGAGAAAGGGGAGTTTCATCTGACCAGTTGGGGACACTTAATTAAGCTCGTAGCACTTTCCTCAAACTTAATATTTAATCTGTATACACTGTGAGCTACTCACTGCTTTTAAGATCAATCAAAAATGATCTATTCAGATGTTTGTGAAAGACCAGAGCTGCATGGACTCGAGAACATGATGTGTGTTCCAAATTAAAATCACAAGCTTCTTTGTTTCTTCCAAATAAGTAGTATGGCTTCTGGTCAATAATCAGTTTCTATATCAAGATATATTAAACATACAATAAATATTTTCACCTAAAAACTGGAAGAGGATACATACATTTTACTTAGTATACATGGGCATGAGTCATGTTGTTACCAATGAAAGAATAGTTCAAAAGGTTCATTTTAAAGTGCCAAGCATCGCACTACTGTTGGCTGTCATTTCAGTTTCTAAAGCATGAAATAACTATAGAATATTTGGCTCTTGCTGATGATCATTCTGTCATTTTGGTCACTATCTCTCCCACTGTCATGAACAAAGCTTAAGGATTACTCTGTTAGTTTGTCTGAGGAGTAATAACACCCATCTATACTCAAGATGAGATGCCTAAAGCTCACCCACTACTGATCTAGCACATTATAAAACCATGCAAACCAGCTCATATGGAAGCACAGTCTGTTCTAGTGCAAAGTATTAAATTCACTCATGGACATTTTAAATTGTTGCTTCTCAGACTTTCCATGGTAAAATGACAGAAAAAAGCATCTGTTCAATATTAGATCAAAGATGACATCAAAATGTGATAAGAACAAAAAAGCAGTACACGAGGTGCAGTGAATGCATTTGATACTACTGTTTTTAACACATCTTGATGGCTTCTGTGATCTGAACAGATGCAAGTAACCATGGAATCTAATTTTTTTATAAAAGGGAGAAAAATTTCATTGATGATGAGATGAAAATTAATACATAATTATCTGTCCTTCAATGCATGAAGCTAACAACCAATCAAAATGCGGTATAATACCGCTTTCTGTTTTATTAGATACAAATACTTGAATATGGCATTCATTTAACTTAGGTGAAGCATAATCAACAACAAAGCCAACGTATTGTACAGCGTTGTTGAAGTTTGAAAAGAAAAAGCCAGCAGGATTTCCGCAAAACCCCATACTTCATTCTGCACACAGTTCTTGGATAAGAGAAAGCAGAAGCAAAACGACAGACTACCTTTGGAATTACGGCTTTGTTTATGATTGGTATGGGATTATACGGAGGTCTTTCTAAAAAGCTTACTTCTCAATAATTCAGCTATAAAACTTAACACGTGTTTGTACCTTTAGCACAATTTTTGGTATTTGTTTTGATTTATGAGATTTACCTCTACTAAATTCGTCTGTTTCATAACATCTAAATGAAGTCCCTGTGGTGGTTTTCCTGCCCTGTGAGAGATATCATTTGTGCGTTTATATAATCAGCAAATAACAAAACAGGTTATTTCTAAAACCTTACCAGCCAGGCACATCAAAAGGTGGATTGTTCGCGGGAACAGAGGCCTTGTTAGCCGCCATTTTAGTTCGCTTTGTTATTTGAGAGACTGGTACTGGTATTCGATGTACCTACCAATATCCCGGATATTTTCTTCCCAGGATTCACCGTCGTAATTTTCCCGCCATCACTCATCCAACTCTCTTGGACACTTGTTCTGTAGTGCAGTTCGTTCGAATCAAGATGAGAGATCCCCATCGACTTTTCTTAAAGAGCCTCATGTCTAAACAGTTTCTTTCTGAGACGGAGACTAAGACTCTCTGCCAGAAATGTTGCAGCGCCAGTGAAGGTAAGAAAAAGGTCTCAGTTGCTCACCCTACCTCAAATGAATTCAGAAATTAAAAAGAGCAATTCCTGATTGAAATGTATCATACAGAAATAACCTCATCAAACGTTTCATAATAATTTCAGATGAAAGCCTTGCTGAGGATTTTGAAGCATTCCTAGAAACTGTTAACAAAAATTTGAAACTATTCTTCATGGAGATCAGACGAGGAGTTTCAGAAGAAGATGGAGCCGTCCATTTCGGTTTGGTACTTAATGTATTGCTGTTACGTCGGAATTTTTTCCTACTTACGATCCTTGACTTGACCAGGCGATTGTGGCATTTCAAAATTTTTTGTTACGTAGTTTATAGTAATCTATAACGGACTGCCATCTTTTACATTTTATTGTACTATACCAATTCCAAAGGGAACCGATTACCTCGCCACCAGGGAGTCTCCCCACCAACCAATTCGCCACCACAAAACGACCTCGCCACCAAGCGAAGTCTTCTCAATTTTTGCAAAATACATTATGACAATTTATGCATTAGATCAGCACATGAAAAGTACAGCATCTGAATCAAAGCCATTCCGAATTAGGTTCGGCTCATGAAAAGATCGGTGGGAAGTATGTTAGTTCGAGGTGAGAATTTTAATTCATTAACACTTCACTTCATGCATACTGTTTGTCAGATAAACGATTCATCCAATCCAATTGCGTGTTTTATTCTAAATGAAAATTTCGATCCTGGGGAAGCGTATAAAAGGGGCACTTTATTCAATCCATTCATTCTGAGCTATTCCATTATGTCGACCAAGTGCATTTCTTGCAAACAGCCAGTCAGAGCCCATCAAGAAGGTCTCTAGTGTGATGATTGTCTCCGTTGGCAACACCGCAAGTGTGGCACCAGAGTATGCCAGTCTGATTACTGTGATGCAGTCAAAAACGGTACTTCAATTGACTGGTGCTGTTCTACATACGACTTCGTTGAGCCGTTCCCTCTTGCTGAAAGCACTCCTGTTAACTTCGGGTCCGCTGTCTACGATTCACCTTCTGCTCAGTCTGTCGACTTGCAGTTAATTAAATTGCGATTCGAGATGAATCATCCATTTTCAAACCGCCCTCAATGCCAGACATAGTGCCAATGGAAACCTCTTTGGAAGATTCAGCCGTAGGACCAGACCTGCCACCAGAAGCGCCAGTTGAGACAACCTACCACGTCGTTCTGGAGGGCACTATACAGGGGAAAACGAAGCTGGTAACCAACACCGGCTATGCGTTTAAAAATAGGTGGGAGACAACTGGGTCTCAAGTACAATGTTGCCTTCCTCCTGCTGGTCCGTCTACATGCTGCCTACAAGAACCAACAACGACATCGAGGGGTGGCACCACAGTGTCAATCGAAGAGCCACCAACCAAGTTCACCTTCTCCTCTACCTGCTAATGGTGCTGCTACACAAGGAAGCTAGGTTCGTATTAGTGCAGATTCACCTTGTGTCTGACAGCAAGCTGTCCCGCTTCCAGAGGAAGAAGTACCGCCTGTTGCAGTCCAAGATTTTCAAGTACTGGGAAGGACTACAACACCGACGTGATTTCAGCCTGCCGCCTCCTAAAGTTGTGCAGCTTCATCAACAGCCCTTTTGCCAGATGCTGAACTGTGACATTCTTAAAAACGTCTCCTTTACGAGCCATCGGTTCCCAAAGGAGGCGATGAAGTACGATTTAGCTGATCTTTTCATGAGCCGAACCTAATTCGGAACAGCTTTGATTCAGACTCTGTAATTTTCATCCAAATGCATAAGTTGTTATAATGTACTTTGCAAAAATAATTTGGGTCGGTCCAAATTCAAATTGAGTTTGGCTCATGAAAAGTTCGGCGTCTGAACCCAGCCTATGGGTGCGAGAAAAACAAAATAAACAGAAGCCTTTTTTTTGGTACGATCTGACCGGATACCTATTACAACACAACCGTTGATTTAGTGTTAGATTTATTAAGTGCATCGTTGGTGGCGAGGTGACCGTAAACCATTCCAAATATGGGAAATAATTTTTTTTAACCCTTTCGCTGCGGGCCATTTTTTCACCCCTGTGTGGGTTTAAAATTGGGATTTTCGCAAACTTTTTTTTTTAATTAAATTATCATGTTTTTAAACGATTCTTAGCTTCAGAAATCAGTTTTTTGATAAAAACTAGGTATTATTTACATTATTTATAGATTTTGTCAATAAAAAATGTCACTTAATAATGATATTCAGTGTGGTAGATATTCTGATATGGTATGATATTCTGTGTGATACGTAGTCATCGTCATTTACGCCTTCTTCTGAGCCAGAAAAATCATCCTCGTCTCCTGAATCATCCCAGACTCTTTCCAAAACATCATTGACTGTTAATCTACTCATAACTGGCGGATGAATGAAAGATACACTTGCAAAACGCTCGAAAATACACTCGTGAAAAAACCAAGATGGCGGCTAGCATCGAAAAAATAACACTGGGCACAAATCATAGGTTTAAAAGTCATATATCTCTCACCAAATGTATTCTTCGTTACCAGGCCCTTAGAAGTCTTGTTATATGCGGTCTAATTGTTTTTACGATGTGCGTAAGTTTTCATATAAAGGCTATACTTGAGGACGTACTGAGTACGTCCTTGTAGCATATGTGTAATCTGAGACAGGACGTACTGAGTACGTCCTTGTAGCAGTGAAAGGGTTAATCAAGTGCTATAATGAAGGTGTTGGGTTCACACAAGGTATGGGAAGGAAAAATTACATGCTTTCTCGGAAGTAATTGTCGGAACTATCTGTTTCTTCCCTCCAAGGTTAATACAGCAGAGGATGAGGCTTCAAAACTGGCAACAGATTTTTCTCCAAGTGATATTGCATTCTTCAAAAAAGCAGTAAGAATACATGTAAAATTCATATACCATGACATGAGAGCATCTTGAAATTAAATTTTGGTAATTCTATACAGATGAACAAATAAAATGTGGTTCAGACATGGAAATTGTCACGACCTTCCACGACCAAAGTGACAAATGTGAGATGGCTGAAATGTTATGAATGAATTCCCCTCAAAGTGGCTTTATGAAAAATCTTGCTTGAATTATGGTTGAACATTTAGGCTCAAAGCTTGTGTTTGTATGTCTGTGCAGATGGACCTCATAGTTGCTTCACCAGATGGGTTGGCATCTTCGATGGAGATACTCAATGCTACACATGATTTGGAGAAAACTATCAAAATAAAGATGAGTATTACACATGCTGAAAACCTGGTTGAAAGACTTATTAAAGATAAATGGATGTCAGAGGTCAGTCTATACTTATTGACATAGTTTAGACCTAAATTTGATTAAGTGGAATAATTTCCCAAACTTATAAGGAAATAATTTCTCTTAAGAATTTTTAAGAGCAGCAGATAGGTGGTAAGAATGAAGAAAATTATAAACAAGGGGATATTGTCTTGATATAACACCAAATTATAATGGATATTATGGAGAGAAAAATTACAATCATTAGTTTGGAGAATTGACTATTAGATCTTTGTACTGAATTCAAAGGTTAATTAATGACAATCACATAATTTTTTTACCACACCCTGTGATACTACAGTCAAAGGTAGATGTACTTACTTTCGGACCTCTGTACCTGGACCTTGATCAGAACCTGCCCCTGCCATCACTAACTATTGTATTTCCCTTTTTTTTTTTACAAAACTGTCCTATTCATTCATTAATTTATTTATTTACTTTTTAATATAGGGTCTTTGTAATATTGTACTAAGTTGTTGAAATTTAAAAAAATGTAGTTGTTAAAAAGACAATTTGTGACAGCAACTAACACTGACATAACCAAAGAAGATGTATTTAGTTTTTGGAACTGATTATTTTGATTTCAGTTGTCAGGATCATACACTTTGGGACCAAAAGCAATGTTGGAACTACGTCCATATCTAAAACGAGTGTATGAAGATGAAATAGTGGACTGTATGATTTGTCGCGACATAGCTGTAAGGGTTAGTACCTTAACTCATACAGGTTTTGGATTGTAGTGATAAGATTTTGCATGGTTCCATTCATCTTTTAACAAACCATTTTTGAAGTGTAGCTCTTTCATTTTATGTCAGGGACAGTGTTGCACTCAGTGTGATGGCAAGATTCATAATCATTGTGCTGCTCGCTTCTTTAATGGAAGGTAATAAATGTACAGTTCTCAAAAACACAGGTCGCAAGTGTAAGGTGTCGTGCACTTTGGATCACATTTAGTGAGATTTAGGGATTACTTTGAATAGAGCCAGCTTGGGTTCAAGTACTTAGATTAGACCGGTGCACATAACCTTTGCAACATAGCAGTGACAAATTATGAAATAAAAGTTTTAACCATTTTACTTTCAGGCATGACCAAGAAGTAATTGAACTCTTAACAATATCAGTATATTGTTGGCAACTAACATCAGACAAAATGTATAGCTGAGTGAGGAGAGTCAGTTTTCAGTCTTAGAAGTTAAACGTTTTAGTTGAATCCTAATAAATAGTTTGGAATGTTCACATGGGAAGAATTCTTGTCTGGTTACTGGGATGAAGATCTAGCTGACTTTTCATAAGAGCACATCGAAATTTTGATTGAGAAATAGATAATGGTAAAGCAAGATCTCAGATGGTAATCAAGCTTATCAGACTAAGGTCATATGAAGGAGCCCCAAAATTGATGGCCAAACATCCTTGTGTTGTTTGATTAAATCCAACAGAGCTCAGAAGACATGTCCAAACCAACAGTGTGGTGCCATTTGGACACATAGAGTTCCTCACTTGTCAACATCATCTTCTCAAGCAAATGGTAAGTGAAATTATGAAATACTTAAATGAAGATTATTATTTTCTGGATATAAAAGCAAGTACATATTTCTGCTGTTAAGAAATTGCTTACAAGTATCAGCATAAGGTATGTGCTTTTGCTTTTTGGGGGCCATTATGTAAACTACCAGGTAGCGAGTAATAATGTATTGTACCCTCGATAAATAAAGTGTTTGTTGTTGTTGTTGTTGCTGCCATGAGCTTGGGATGCCTGTGCTCTAACTTACATGAGAAATATCCAGCACATATTCAAGAAATTTACACGAGTAAACCAGATTGTGAGAATTAATGGTTTGAGATGTTTCTTGATTTTGGCATATTCTATATTGGGGTGTGTTTGGGAAGGCTAGAAAATTTCCCAGTGAAACTGGAATATTTTGCAACAAAGAAATGGAAAGAAATTTTACATCCCAGAGGACTTGCCTTCAAATTGATTTTAAAAGTCAGATAACAACTCTGATGTTGTTAATTCTCCAAGCTGGAAAAAATCAATTCAGAAGTAGTGTATAGCAAAACAGGACTTCTTACTTTACTATTTTGCATTCAAGGTGAAAGTAATACTGTAGCAGGAAGGCATCACAAGAAGAGAAGAAAATAGGCAAAGTAACACAGACTTTGATAGAGGACCAAACAAACAGAAAATTGATTTAAAAAGTTATATTTATTGTACTCTGACATTAAGAGCAAAGGGAATTGTTCAAATTTCAAGTAGGAGTTTCCCCACATTTTTTTGTAAAACCAAACTCTACTCAGCTTATCAACATCAACAGTAAATTAAACTAGTTGTGAAATGGTAGTAGAAACATATAAAGTTGTTACACTTGTAAGCCTTGAATACTCCTGAATTGTTTTTCCTTTTGACTTGAATGTGTGCCAAAAAAATTATCTGTGATCTGAATAATAATCAAAGTTAAAGAAAGAAACAGCTAACTGGTATTCTGAATAAAAAAAAACTTCTTATGAGAATCACAGTGTTTGATAACATTTTTGCCTCTCTTTCCACTTTCCACATTTGGGTAGTAGCATGGTAGCATCTCTGAGGATATCACATTAAAAAAAAACATGATTATCCTTGTTGTTCTGGTATGTGGTATGTTTGTTTGTTTTGGTGAGTTTTTGTTGGGTTTCCTGACAGCTGATGTTGCACCACTGATGGATTGACCCCTTCAAAACCAAAGAATCTAAATGTTCCAGTTAGGTGATGTATAATTAGTAAACTGTACTTTTAGATGAAGACTCAGAGTAAGTGGTCAACACATTGTAATCTACATATCATGGAACACATTTCAAGGAACTTTTTCTGAGACAAAACACAACAGTTTATTACAGACCTTCACCACCATAACAAATGAATTAAACATTTTTTTAGGACATACACATTAAAATGAAGTTCTATACTAGTCAAAATAAATAAATAGCCTATAAATTATTTGCATCTGAAACATTTATATTTTTTCTCTAACTCTGATATTAAAATTTTATTGAGATGTGAAGTACTTTTCTACCCTGTTTCTTTACAGTTTAATAATGTTCATCCTCTTTTCCAGATAACTCAAGTTGAATTGATATGTATAATTATAATCTTCTTAATTTTTTTTTATACTTATTATAACTACTTTAACTGGCATAATGTTATGTAAATAACAAATGAAACATTAAACTCACACATAGTAAATGTTTTTGGGTTAATGCCAGTTTCAAAATTGAATTTGTCGTGTAACAGCATTTATACAGTGAATATGTCACTGTTAGTAAGGCCATGAAAACCAGGTTGCTGGACCAAATCCATGTAACGAGGTTATCAAGATGTTGCAAGGTTTCTTCGCTTTACATGCTGACAGGTGCCTCTCCAAAGTAATTATCGGCAGAGCTGTTCCATATTTCTATTAAAGTGCTACTTAAGATTACTCCATGCAGTCTAAGTAAAACAGAAACCCATATCCTGGGTGAAATAAATTTTGTCATATTTATGCTGTGAGAACTTTTTTTTTATTAACTCTTGAACTCTCAGAAGTGATAAGCATGTAACTGTCTTCTACAACTTAAATTCACCAAAACAAGTTTGAACTTAGGCAGATACACCTGAGAATAAGAACAAGGTTAGCCTTCATGGAAATTTTCCAGAATACAGACTTTCATACGAGTATGTCCTTTATTAACTTTTAGGGTCGTGAAAAAAATGAAATTAAAATGTCCAAAGGTCTGTCCCACAAGCTTCATGATCTTAGATTTTCATTGATTGCAGCTAAAGAGAATTACTTCAGCCAGCTCATGAGTGTTAAAAGGTTACAAAACTACTTGCAGTTAATTAAATTGCAAAATTATTAAATGCATTTCATTGTTTTATATAACAGCCACTCCCATCCCTTCAATGGCAAGAGGTAATGAGGAAAATTCCTCCCACTTGTTACTTAAGGGATCATAACAATCAATCTTTTCTGTTTCAACATTCAGGCAAGCACCACCTATAGCTAATAGTTTGTCATCAACTGCCGCCACTCCTGGACTCTCCCGTCGCGTCAGCATGGGGGGCAAAGATAACCATCTGTTCATGCGTGGATCAAAACATTCCACAGAATTGTGATCCTCATCATAATCACTACCTCCAACCACAAATATTTTGTCCTTTAACACTGCAGCACCGAAATACCTCCGTCTATAGCTCATAGCAACGCAAGCACTCCAGCGATCCAGGCGAGGATCATACCTCTCAACTGTGTTTAAGATAGACACACCATTATCACCTCCAATTGCATAAATAGCGCCATCCAGAGTTACCATGGCGACACCCTCTCGCATTGTGCTCATGGGCCTCATGTGAGTCCAAACATCTCTGGGGAAAGAAATAATACAGAATTTTTACTTGGAGGAAGATTAAGGGCTGAGAAAGTTCTGCACCCTGAACAACTCTTACACTTCTCTCATGCTCTCCAAACTTTCTGAATGCACCCATAACTCAACATATGCATGGTAAGCACGAACCAATTCTTTACTTTCATTACTTTTTCCAGGTCATAAAATTTGTAAACTATGCAAACTATATTTAATCCTGTGTGATGGATCTATCACATTCATCTAATTGGTAATCTGGAATTTTCAAAAACCATTGACTCAATTTTACCTGACTGGGTCATAACGTTCCAAACTGTTGTATTCAGAACGAGAAAAGTCACTCCCTCCAGATGCATACAACCAACCATCTAACTCTACCAAACCAAAGGCGTGTCTTCCACATGCCATAGGCTGGACATATGTCCATTTGTCTGTTGCAGGATGGTAACACTCTACAGAGCTGAGAGCTACGTCACCATCACATCCTAAACAAAAAAAGTAGATTATTCAATTTTATTTGTAGTGGCCTTAACAATTTTGAAAGCCAAATGTAAGATCGTTGGGTGGTTTTGAATTAAGTTAACAGCAGCATCAGCCAAACTTTCTACTCATTAATTTTCCACATGATTTTCTTTTAATTAAGAATAAAAGTTGCTTGCAAATTCTGAAACATTGTTAAATCCACAGAGTTTGTGGTGATCCACATGTCCAATAAGATGCCAACTGGGTATTGCAATATTGCAGATGAGTTGAATGTGTAGCTGAAAATCTGAACTTTTATGTTTGCAAAAAAAAATTCCTTGCTAACCTCCAGCAGCATAAATTAGTCCACTGTACACTGTGACACCTACTCCATCCCTATGCTTGTTCATGGGTGCAACCTCGTCCCATGTATTTGTCTCAAGGTTAAACCGTCTTACGCTGTTGAATACTCTGTTGTGTATTTCTCCCCCAACAATGTATATCATTGTACTCCCAGCCTTGTGCCTCGCCTCTGTCACAAATGAAATCTGGTCACGCCTTTCAGGAAGCAAGTGAAAGTTTTTTGCCTGACTGATTAATCTCATACATGAGTCATTGCTTTCCACCAGTTTCTCACTTTCAATACAGTCAACTGAAAAGAAAACATTACCTTTCATGAGAGGAAAGTGAATGGTATTAATCCACATATAATAATAATAATAAACTGGAACAGAACCGATCACACAGCAAGTCCGGCTAAGGAGATGGAGATGGATTGGGCATGTGCTGTGCATGCCTTCAGCAGCTTTACCACGAGTTGCCCTCAGATGGACCCCTGAGGGTCGTGGGAAGAGAGGCAGGCCGAAAGAAACATGGAGGAGGACAGTGGAGAAACGGAACGACAAGCACCCGACAGAAGCCAATGGCGCTCTTTGGCCGAGGCCTTATGTGTTTCACAACACGAAGAGGATTAAGTAAGTAAGTAAGTAAGTAATAATAATAATAATAATAATAATAGTAATAATAACAATGTTAATATTTAATAGCAAAGAAAAGCCATTATCATTAGTACAATTATTATTATTATTACAATTTACTGTGGTTCTATTGACATATTTAACAACATAATACTACAGAAAAAAATAACAATTTCGAATTTTTAAAAGGAATTAAATCATTTCAGGTTAAGATCTTGTGCTTTTGGGGGCACTTTTTTTAAATTTCAGCTATGGGGGGGCACTTATTCTTCTGTACTGATTCTGCTGTAGTCAAAGCTAAAAAAGTTTTAAAATAAGAGGTAATAGAAAAAGGTTTTGCTTGTATCCCTACTATTTTTGAAAGTGATGGAGGAGGGGGGTGTTTATTTGTGGGGGCACCTGTTTGAAAATTTGGCCCAGGAGGGTAGTCGCTTATTCGGGGAAGGGCACTTATAAGAGCGTGGGCGTTTATTTGAGGAAGTACAGTATACCTCTTTCAATGTAAAAATTTCAGAAAAAATCACTGATTAATATGTCACAAAGAATAATAACACTTTTCGTTTAAGCAATACTGTGGACTCAAACCAGTTAGAATATTAACAAAGTGTCAATTCCATCCCCTAAAAACCAATTTTGGTTAAGCAAAATTAATGTCATTTCCTCGTTCTTTTGTTTCCTTGATATCGAAATCGACTCTCACTATCAAAAGGCAGGATTAGAGATTTTGACCCAAGAGATGAACACCTTTAAAAGTCTCAATTGCAATTAACAAGAGCCACAGTAGTCAGGGTTTTTTTTTTTTTATGGCGAAAGTGAAGCGAAAACCTAGCAGCGTGACTTGTGAAATCGAACATCATATCAGCTGCACATTCGAAAACAAGAATTTTTAACACGAGAATATCACGAGAATTTTGCTTTCCGTAAGAAAATAAACAACATCACCGCGAGACAAAAAACTGAAACATCCTGGCTAATGTTAAGTTACAATAAAAACGAAAATGATAAAATATTAAAAAAAAATTTCAATAATACAGTAAACATCTCCAAAGGAAATAAAATTTGCATTTTGGGTCAAATGTGTATTTTAAATTAACTCGTAATTTATTTGGTATCTCTTTATAAGATTTTCTTACCTAGTATTTTTGGTGGTAATAACGGGAGTCTAATGTCTTTAAGGAATTGTGGTAGATGTTGCTTCCGTCTGGGTTCATCGTAACGGATCCATTGAATAACGGCATCGAATACTTCTTTCTCACTGACCACATCAAGGAAATCACTCTTAGTCATGGTTGATACCTGCTCGCTGGTTGCATTGAGAAATTCCTCAGACTTGATTACTTCGAGGAAATGTCTTTCTGCGTAGGATTGTGCAGCATTTTTTAGTTTAAAAAAGCCGTGATGGTCCGCAAAATCTCCAATCCCAAGACAATTAGTGGGGTGTAATTGATTCTTCAAAAATCCACAACACGATTCGATGATTGTATTGAACTGTAGTAAGTTCGACACTGATAAAAGATTTTGCACGTTTTTCTCCGTGATTGTTATGGTCGATGTGTAGCAAAAGTTGACAATAAGATCCAGTGCTTCGTGGTCTATTCCTTTCAGGGAAATCCTCTCTTGAACGCTCTCACACATGTCTGTAGTGAACATTGAATAAAAGTAAGCACTATTCGCGGCTAAAATCACGCGATGAGCTCTAATTTCTCGCTCGTCGACGATCAAAACCACGTCACAGAGTTCCCTTTTTATATACAGTTTCTTTAGCATCTCCAGAACATGGCAAGCGTGGAATGAGTCCTTGTAATCGAGGACTTCCATCAAGCTTTCTCCGTCCATAGGAGCGGCCATTTCCTTTGTTTATTAATATATTTCCCATAATGCACCTAGAGCGTCGCTTCATTCACCTGTTATGTCCCGGGGAAAACCCTAACCAGTGAACTGTGACTTGTTTCACCTAATTGGTTGTCCAATAAACCCTTCTTCCAGTAGAGAAATAATTTACAAAGTTTGTTCCAAATTTGAAGGTTCTTAAACAGAAACAAGACATGGGTAATCAAGAATTTGTACAACTGCTCTCATCTTTAACACCCTAATGTCAGTATGCATATTCTCCATACTGTTCTCAATACCAGGTTAGGGCTTAATAAATGGTCTTAATTCAAGCACTGGTATATTTTTTTGTTGTTGTTGTTTGATGTTGGTGGGTATCAAATATCAGTAATAGGGTTGGATGAGGATCAATTCAGGCTTTGAGACCACTATCACAACACAATGACCATACTACATGAAATGTAACATGTCTCTCTTTGCTGTGTTCCCATTCCACATCACTAATCTTTGATGGCTAAGGAGAAACAAGATGTTGATCACCCTTTTCACTCTTAAGTATTTATTCATAGTATAATCAACTAGCATTCTAATTGCTGAGGCTACACAAGAGAGCTGACCTTACACTACAACCCTACAGATAGAAATGTCACAAGACTGATCAGGCACACTTGCATCATATAAAATTTTATTCACTAAAAAATGTGCCTTGTAATAATTACAAGAAAAGGGATTTTCACAGAAAGAAGTATTTCTTTAGCTATAGTAGTGATACAATAATACTCTACGTTCTTATCACATTATAACGGTAATTGATTTACAAAAATATTAAAAACCCTTTTTAACAAGTCAGTAACACAATAACATTGTTTGAACCAATGGTTATCTCATCTCAAAGTATTCATGCCTCATAGGAGTAATACCTCTTTAAAACAGACTCAAAGAAAACACTAAAAACTATCAATTATCTTTTAGTTTTTCATTCCAACTCTCCTCAAGCAGGAAACCTCTTCAACGTGGCATTTAATCCCAAGATTTCTGTTTCACAAGAGTTAAGTTTTACACCATACAATGAACCCATTGCACAGAAACACTACCTGCATTTGAAGAAAATGGATTTGTGGATGTTGCTGATCAACAAAAACAAAAGACATGAAAAGAAGCCTCTCAGCGATCACAACGACTCACTCACATGTTACTGAGGTGGTTTTGACATCTTATCATGATCAGTTTCTTTAGGGTTGATAACAAATTATCTGTCTAATATAAATCTGTTATCATACAACAAATCAGTTTTAGTTTTTTTCACATATTGAATATCGCCTGCATATAACTCTAACATCCACCTCCCTCAAAGTTACCCAGCTTATGTGCAGTAGTTAAGCAGTTTGATGTAGAGATAATTCAAGAAATGTTGGAAAACTCTTAAGGGCAAATAGCCATCTATCATGAAAAACAATTATTTCTGTTGTTTACACTTTTTACACCATGACAGTTCACATTTTGAAAGTTCCTTAGGTATGTGCACAATAATTCTGACCTTTAAGACAAAATACATAATTAACTTTACAGTCCATTATAAGAAGTACAGTATTAACCCCTCTCTAATATAAATCTCGCGCTTATTTTGGTGTTAATTAAAAATTCAATATTTCATTGAGTCAGCTTTTCATACATCCAAGTTATTCCAAGTTATTCCTTGCACAAAGTACCATTAACATTGATTCAGAAACATCAACCAAAGATATTATTCTCCCTAACGAGACCTGAAGAAAACCAAAAAAAAATATTGATGACACAGTTTAACTCTTCATGCCAAAAATTCAAAGTAAAACTTCTCATGTTATTTACAATGTATACAAGTGGATATTTTAAAAAAATTTCAATTAGAAATCAAACTGGAAACTCAAAAATACTGCTCAAGGAGTTAGGTTTCCATACATTTTACAACATATATCATTCCTCTTTCAAACTTTTAGTTCCTGTCACAATCCTAGGCAATATTCTGCATAGCAATCCATTGTCATTCCTGCTTAATTTATAAATATTCCTTCATTTTTTCTATCTTCTCACGTCTTGTTTTAAGTATTCTCCAATTTGATGACAGAAAAAAAGAAGCAAAACATTTTGACGTTGCACCTTTCAACAGTGTGGTATTTTGTTTCAAGATTTGTTTGCCATACACCTCCATGGATATACAATTCAGTATTTGAAGGAATATTTGTCTACAAGCTGTCATTTCTTAGGCATGGTACTCACACCTGAGGTTGTAAAATATCAATCTCACCCTAGCCCATGGGCCCTTCTCCTGCACAAAACTAAAAAAAAAATTATTTTGTATAATGTGCAAAGCAAAATAAGCTGAAAACAATAGGAGAAAAGATGAGGCTTTGCTATGATCTTCCTTCCACCAAAACCTCCGATTTCTTGAAGGGACACTATCAAAGTTGTATAAAAAATCTTATGAGAAAGCTTTGGAAATTCTCAAAACACATTCCAAATTCTTCAGGTATCTGGATCCTCCTAAAAAAACCTCACCCATATGACTCCACTGGAAATTCAAAGTGTAGATTACTAGAAGTGTTTTTGATGACTTAATTAACAACATGGGTGATATGGCTCATATTTTGGATAAACAGAATCACTCATGTATAATAAGAAATGTAACTGTTAACATTCAACATGAGCTGTTGATAGAAACAAAACTGAAAAATTTGGAATAAAAAAAACCTTGCACAGCAATATTCCACAGATAATGAAGACATAAAATTTCTTGTATAGGGATAACTACTGATAAATAGCTTTACATCTAGGAAACCACCTGAGCCATTTAATGCAAGCACAAAATGTGATGTATGTTAGAAAATTAATCTTTGATGAGTAGGCCCTTTGAGAGAATTACTGGCTATATAATTTTCACCTAAAAAAACCTGCTCTAGAGAATATGTTGAAGAAATATAAATTTTTATACATAACGTTTACTTAGCAAAATAAAATTACAGTGATTGATACTGCATCATGAAGGAAAACATGTTATCCATTTTTGAACACCTTTCTAAAGCAAAAACAATTGTTTAATACACAATCTTAAAATTAAAATAAAAATTTAGCAAGTAAAAGAAGCAACATTTGTTTGAAACTCTAGACTTGTTAAAAAAAATTGAGGTAACTCTATACATTGCCCATAATTATGCTAGGTCTCAAGTTTAACTACAACAAAGCTTGGGTGATAAAAAAATCATGGTAAAATACCAACATTCTCTTAAGGCATTTTACAAAGGAAAAAAATTGAGTTAAATATGTCAACCTGACCCAATTTGGACCTTGTGTTGGCATGGATAACTCTTTCTTAGCAAGAGAAAAGGTGATTCTAAAAGATCACATGGCCAGATTGAGACAGGAGAGATGTGATGTAGTTGAAGTTCCCCTTTCCCAATCTAATACACAATCAAAACAAATTTCCTTAAGGGAAAGGCTTCTGGTATAAATTTTCCAGCCCTCACTGATGAAGGTTTGTTCTTCTATCTCTGATTACACAGTGCTTTGTTGAGGATACTGACTTGCAAGTATTCTTTAGTTTTCAATAACTGCTCTAAAGGAAATAAATTTTTCTCTGTTTCCTTTTGCTGCATCTGAATACAACCAGTAAACTGTGCCAACAAAATCTCTACACATGCGTACAGCTTAGATACAAATTATGGAATAAATAGAAAATGTATATGTGCCATGTATCATAAATCACAAGTTGCAACAGTTCTAAAAATTAAAGAAACTCTAATGAGTAAAAATTACTTAGTTTGAAGTCATTGATGCTGTTAACAGTAATTGCAAAATTTAATTTTCTATGCTAAAATACTTTTTCTTTCCATCTGGTAACTGCAATGAGAACCTTGGAATTAAAAAATGCATTTACTTTGCTAAAAAGTTTAATGACTACCAATATGCAAAAATAGTGTTCTCTTGGGTACTTCTCTATCTTCTTTCATTCTGTATGGATCACTGGTCTTGTTTAGTTCTGCAAGAATCAAAAAGAAATTAAACCAGTATCATAACAGTGATGATTTAATGATAGGTCAAGTTTAACCCTGTCCAGTGAGCCACAAGATAGCTTCGAGTTAAACCTGTCCAGTGAGTCATTAGATAGCTTCAAGTTTAACCTGTCCAGTGAGCCATTGGATAGCTTCAAGTTCCTATGAACCACTTCTTCATCTGAATGGTACGCTAACCCTTCACAAGTTGTAATCCACCCCCACTGCATTTTTTCACATTTTCCTGTAAGTTTTCTGTCACCAGTGTTATAATATTCTTGGGTGGAGAGATGTATTGGCAAGTTGACAAAATTTAATAATAAGTTTGATACTTACCAAGAGATTAAGGGTCCAGTTTTTTATAATTAGGCTCTGTTGAAACAAAGTAGTCCTCTAACAATGATTGAAGATATTCAAATGTTGGTCTGTCATATTCATTTTGCTTCCAACATTCCAGCATAATTCCATAGAGAGCATCAGGAGTATCTCTGGGTTGGGGCATGCGATACCCACGTTCTACTTGGGCCAGCACTTCAGCATTTGCCATGCCTGGGTATGGTACACGTCCTTTTGTCACCAACTCGGTCAGCAAAATTCCAAATGACCATACATCTGACTTAATGGTGAATTTGTTGTATAGTGCTGCTTCAGGTGCCGTCCACTTTATTGGAAACTTTGCCCCTTGATGAGGATTATACTCGTCATCTTCAATCAATCTTGCAAGACCAAAATCTGCAACTTTACAGATATTTCCTTCGCCAACTAAGATGTTTCTTGCAGCTAAATCTCGGTGGATGTAGTTCATCCTTTCCAAGTAGGCCATTCCAGCAGCAACTTGTGCCCCCATGTCAATCAAATCTTCCAATTTCAAAAACTGACCATCTCCCTTCAAATATTCTAACAAGCTACCATGTTTCATTAATTCTGTTACAATGTAGATTGGTTCCTCATTTGTGCAAACTGCATAAAGCTGTGAACATAAATAACAGACATATAAGTGTTGTGAGACATTGTAAGATCACCTTTACATGTAGGTAAAGTGAGGAGGTAATACATACTACGTAAAATTACTTCGCAATAAATTTCATATGGTATTGTTAATAAAATTGTAAAAAATCCCTGTACAATGGGGAAATGCAGTCCTCAAAAAAAGAAGTATTGTAAAATTACTTTTCTAAATGAACACAGATTCATTACAAAATCAGAGTCATTTACATACCTGTATAAGATTGGCATGCCTCAATTTCTTCATTATTGCTGCTTCTGTTAAGAATGCTTGTGGTGACATTGCACCAGTCTTGAGTGTTTTCACAGCAACTGGGGTTGTTCCGTTCCAAACTCCTGCCCACACTTCACCAAACTGTCCTGCTCCCAACCTTCTGTTCAATCTCAGTGATTCACGGGAAATTTCCCAAGCATCTTTGGTGTTATATGAAAGACCAGATGTGGTGGGTTTCTCTGCTCTGCATGCATGATTGAGCTTGCAACACAGACCATCTGCATCCTCAGTGTAATGCTGAACTAGCTCATTGAGAGTTGAGAAAGGTGCTCTTGTGGTAATATAGTAGCCTCCATTGTCAAGCTTACGTATACGATAGTGTCTGACACTCTCTCCATCACGAATAGATAAGGAATAGTTACCAGGCATGGTTTCTGAGTCACGGATAAGAAATGTACCAGAAGGACTTCCAGGAGAAAGTAGCTTCTTCTCTGCATCAGCACGCTTGATCTTACCAAAGAACCAGCTGAAGAAAACCAGGAATGTTAAAAAAAAAAAAAAAAAAAATTAGGAAACAACAAACATGGGCTCTCAAAAAAATTTTAGGTTGACTCTAATGAGTTTTACAGCCCCTAATAGCAGTCCTGAGCTTATTGTTGTTAATGTAGCATAAAATGTGCTAATGTGTTAAATGTTGACATGAAACCATCATCACTCCATCCCACCTCATGGGTGGGATACAAGACTTTACTTCTCATACCCAATAGAACTCCTGAGCACAGAGAGGCACTGTGAGAGCAAAGTTTCTCCCTTGGAACAAAGCACAGTGACCTGACCAAGGCTCAAATCCATGGCCTTCCACAATCCAGAGTCTATCCCAATAATCATTACACCACTGCTTCTCTGAGAATCAAAACTCACCAAGAACAAAACACATTTTTGTTTATGAACACTATTTTAGGTATTAAAATTAAAACTCTCTCTCAATAGAGTCCTTCACAACAACAGTCAACATACAATTACTGCTTTACAAATATTTCAGTAACATCTTCCATGCTTGTATACACTCAAAACAATGATCATAAGTTATGAAAGCTTCATTTCTTGTGATGGGCCTTCCCTTTGATAGACTTTAATAAAATGCAGATAGAGATATTTAATGTCCAGAAGTCACCTGTTAATCATGAGCCAAATGTTCTACTTCAATACCTTCATTTCCTTTTAAAGCATCTAAAATGAACTAAAATGAACTCACCAACTCAAACACTACTTATGCTGATCATTTACAGAGCCAAGCTCAACAGTTTCATTCTTGAAGAGTAGAAAACTTAGAAATCATGCAAATGAAATGAAAAAGAATAAAAAAATAAGAAAGCTAAGCGACGTTGGGTTTATCTGTTGCTAGCTTTGCCATGTCTTTGAATTTGACTGGCACCACTTCATTAACATTCAGGTATCTACTGTAGGTATCTCTCAGTTGTTTTAACTTCCTCACGAGCTGAAAGTCTGACAAAGTCCCAAGATTTTAAAAACAAACCAGTTTCATTACCATAAAAAAAAAACAAAACAAAACAAAACAAAACAAGCGAGCGAATAAGGAAAACAACGAACTGGCGACAGTTTTCATCCCGGAAGTGGGATTGTGTTGTAGAAACGCTAAAACAAGACCGAAAATTCCAAAATCGATGATATATTCAGACAAACATCTGGACAAGTTCCAAATTTAAGACACTGTGCGTGCAGAAAACGAAATAATTTTTACACACGAGAATCCGCGCAGGAAGGAACGGTAATAAATTCATTATTCACCAAATGGGTTCACAACAACTAACCATACAAACCAACGATATGATACACTACAAACAACCCACTTTTTTCAGAGAGAATTTTCACAACAATCAACAGACCGACACTTTCCCGAAAGATCAGCCAATTCGTTAACTGGAAGACCAGCTTCTCTACGTGAGAACACCCTAAAGATTCACAAAACTCTCTACGTGCGGTGATCTAGCAAAGTGACAGACAATCTAGCGCTAACTGTATTATAGAGCATACAGCTTAAAAAATCGGCTCTTTTACTTACTCTTGAGCATTCACGCTTAGTTCAGGTGCCACATAATTCCTTGGGATATAACCATCCTTGTGTGTTGCTAGAGATTTGGCCAACCACCAGTCGCTATCTGTGTTGTCGACAACTTGAAGCCGTTCGCCCTTCTTGAAGCTCAAGTCTTCGTTGGTTCGTGCATCGTAATCATACAGAGCAATAAACACTGTTATTCCTTTGGTTGGTTGCATCACTGAGTGGCTTGACATAATGGAAGAAGGTGCATGGAGGTTCATATTGTCTGCAGGAGCAGCAATTCTTTGCTGTTTGTCACTGTGATCATTCGCTTGTCCATGACCGTTCGTTGGTGCCATGTCTCGGCTAGACTCACCCTTCGCTTCGTACTTGTTCCTCGAGTTTTTCTTCCCGCAACAGCAACCCATGGTTGCTGAAAAAATGGAATACGCAGACTGATTCTAACCCGTTGCGGAAAATGGACTATTCAAGATCAACAGAGGCAAATATAGGTTGGACTGATAAATTAACTTTGAAGGTATCTATTGATCACGAGGGAGGAAACCGAAGATGATCGTGCCGAGCAAATCTTTGAGCTGAGCGCAACTCTGGGAGGGGAACTAGCTACCAGTGGACTCTCGCGTAAATTGAGAAGTGAAGGACTGGGTAGAGATATGGGTGGGAGTGCGCAATCCCGGAACTGTGTACAACTTGTGAAGTTTGATCCTTCGATCGAGCGAACTGTAGTCATTGTCTAATATACAGCATTTTGGTGTAAATCTTGGCTCCTTCTCACCCATGGGGAGTTGCATGGGCAAGGAGTCCCCTGTGGACAAAAAAAGTGATACAAACGACGAGCAAAATGTGGACAAATCTGCAGCAAGTTTAAAGGAAATCGATGTGAATTCCGGACCTGTTCAACAACATAGTGATCGATATGTACCGGAGCCCCCACCGAGCTCACCGCCTCCCGAACCCACTCCAACTTCTGTGAAACCTCTCTACATCGCTCTCTATGACTACGATGCACGAACAGAGGACGACTTGAGCTTTGCAAAGGGTGAGATTCTTGAGGTAGACCCCGACGATTTGTATAACGACTGGTGGAGGGCTAAATCTCGTAACACTGGCAAATCGGGTTTCATTCCCAGCAACTATGTAGCTGCTTACGAAACTTTGGAAGCCGAAGAGTAAGTGTAGTTTTAATGGAAAATGTTCTAGGACATATGACGAAGTATGACTTACAGTTTGTGCAAGAAGGAATGTCAAGATTTTGCAAAAATCTAATTTGGATTTGCTCTGGAATGTTACGTGAATTGTGTGGGTCAGATTAGCCAAGAGGGTCGTATAAATTCCAATTCTTAACGTTTGAAGGAATTTATGTAGCAGCTTGAATCAGCGCTTTCATTTTGTTGCGGCTTCAAGTTCTTTGCTTTAACACTGCTTTAATGGCTATATCTGCCCCAGCAAATTTCAATCTAAGAAAAATTTAATGTTAAAGTCTAATGTCGCTGTGTTTGATCAACTGGTTAGTGAAGTTGTTGTCCGAACGAGCACCCGGAAACTGCCGCAAAGTTGGCTGGCTACCTAGTTTTTCATCGACGTAGCCTTTCTTCTACAAATAACTATATTTACCAAGCCTAAGCTGGATTATGAAATACTGATACACCACTTATTTGTCGATCAAAAAGAAAAAATTAACTCCGCTTGATTAAAACATGCTATGTTATAGGAGACTTAATTAATGTTTTAAACATTTAGTTAAGCAAATAGTCCGTGTATTATTTAGCAAAGTATGCTTTTATCAGATGTGGCTGAGTTTCTCACATTCAGTATGGAAATAAAATCGCAAGGAAAGTGAAAGCAACAGTGCTCTATTAATTTATTAAGATCACTTTGCCTGAGGCACTTTTGCTTCCCTGTGATGCAAATCATCTGAGGTCGTTGGAGATTTAAATAAGAATCTTTAAAAAGTAAACAGCATTGTTCAGACCACAAAATAAATGTAAAAAAGACAATGCTGAAATGATTATTCCATGGCTAATGCCATGTTACCTAATCTGTAGTCTGAAAAAATGTTTTCCTTAACTCATAGCAATTATACAACTTGCACAAGGAGAGGGGTTTTAAACTCTACTGAGGGATGGAATAGTTCTCAAATAGAAGATCTGGGTTTTTGATAACATGGATGCAAATTTGATACCTTGTAATAGAATATTTTTTTATGTTCCATTTGTTGCATTTTTCTCTTTTTACACAGTTGGTATTTTGGCGAAATAAAGCGACCAGAGGCAGACAAGTTATTGAAGACACCTATCAATGAGCATGGAGCATTTTTGATCCGAGAAAGTGATAAAGGTGGTTATGCTTTGTCTGTGAAAGATGGTGACATGGTCAAGCATTACAAGATCCGCAAAAGAGAATCTGGCAGCTTCTTCATTGCCCACAATAATCCATTTAGCACTCTGTCAGATCTGGTTCAGCATTATACTCAAAATGCAGATGGACTCTGTGATATCCTCAAGAAGCCATGTGTCAAAGTAAGATATCATTTTAAGGTTTTGCAATAAATTTAAAAAATTAACACTGTTAAATTTAAAAGAATATAAATTTGTTTGTGGTTTCTTAGGGTGCTTACCATTTGGCCAAAAAATTCGGAAATTTCAGTTTGAAGTCAAATGGTAAGGTAATTTTTCGGAAATTGTGGAGTACCTTCAGAGGTACTCTTTTTCCATTCGGAACGGAAGGTCATAAAATTTCGTTTCCAGGCCTTTCCGCTTGGGTTGCCTTCGTCCTGAAAGATGGCGTCAGTCTCTTCGCTGTACCAATGTGCAGCATGTATGTTTTCGTCAGCCACCATGGCTGACATGTTAGACCATCAGTGCCACATTTCTACGTCCCAAGGTGAAAATATTTGCTTCTTTCTCAAATGCATTTCGAGGCTACAAACCAAATAATCAAACAAAGCAATATGAGTGGAGTTTCCGGTTGGAGCAGGATGAAATGCCTGATGGATAAATGGTAAGCTCAATCTCATCCGGTTAGTCCATGAATTCAGAAACTCCCTTACCTTTATGCCAATCGGATTTTTCTTACAAATGGTAAGCACCCTGAGTAACTATCTTTTGAAATAGTTCCTTGTAAAATGATACATCATAATGTGCCACAAGCAGACAATCCTGCTGAGTTTACCCTCTACACCCCAACATCAGTATACACATTTCCCATTCTGTTCCAATACTGTTCCCATACTGTTCTCTGTACATCTCACATGTTCTTGAGAAGGAAAGTGTCTTCATCAGTCAAAAGCATCTTAAGCTGGGAATCATTTCCTTTATTCTTATGGCCAAAATGTTTGATTCAGCAGTGATATTATAAGGTGAAATTAGATACAACACATTTTAGGGGTTAAAAGTTAAATACATTGCTTAGAATCCTAGGCCTTGATTCTCACAGTGAATGGGATATCCATGCTTTTGTTTTGACTCTAACAAGTATGCTTAGAACATGTTTATGATATGTTTATGAAAGGGACATCATGTTTCTAAGAGAGATATCTTTTGAGCAGCCTTTGGGTTAAAAAAAATTTTCCTTACTAATAGAAAATTATCAATGTTGTATTGACAGTCGAAGCCTGATAACCTGAACCCTCAGTAACTCGAATTCCCTGCTACCTTGAAGCTAAACCGATTTCCTTCAAAATTTTGCCCATGATAACTTGAAGTACTGGTAGATTTTCACTTTAATTTTCAGACCAATGAGCTGTAACATTTTGGACCAGAAGATTACATCTCATGTGTTATGACAAATCGACCTTTGTCGTTATCACACATTTCTAGGTCCTTTTGAAAACAAGTTTGACAGTTATTCCCGGCAAAAAGAAATCATGGCACGTAAACTGGAATTGATCTGTTGTTTGGATAGATTTTTCAGCAAATGTTGAAGTGAGATTTAGTGCTAAACATTCTGAAGAGCAGCTACTTTATATTTCATGCTTTTCTTTTGTTTTCTTTTGTCATTTTTATGCTCTTACATTGCTAGAAATCTTATACTAAAACATGTTAAAGCATAAATCTCTTCATTCAAGTTTTTCTAGTCTTTTTGTTCAAAACCCCTATAACTCAAAACCCTCGATAACTTGAAATTCAATTCCCCTCAGCAATTCAAGTTACCAGGGTTCAACTGTATATAATTATGTAAATTTATGATCAGCTAAGAGAAATAATAAACCAAGTTAGTTTTGATTTGGGTTTTCAGGTTGTATAAGTAAGGTTTATTATTTTCAAGGTGTTTTGAACCAATCATAAATTATTACTGGCTCTTTATTGTTACTTATCAGTGCCGGTTATTAGTTACAATTCCATGTTTTTGTTTGTTTATGTGATATTTATTTATTTACTTATATTTTTAGGTTGAGAAACCACAGACTGTTGGCTTGTCGCATGACACTGCAGACATATGGGAAATATCACGTGACTCAATCAGACTTACCACACGTCTTGGATCTGGCAACTTTGGTGAGGTGTGGCAAGGGTTATGGAATGACACCACTCCTATTGCTGTCAAGACATTGAAGCCTGGCACAATGAATCCCAAGGCATTCCTTGAAGAAGCTGAACTCATGAAGAGACTGATCCATGACAAACTGGTTCAGCTTTATGCAGTGTGCTCTAAAGAAGAACCAATTTACATTGTGACTGAGCTGATGCCAAAAGGAAGTCTACTTGATTATCTGCGCAGCGAAGAGGGACGAAAGAAGAAGATGGAAGAGCTGATTGACATGTCTTCCCAAATTGCTGCTGGCATGGCTTATCTCGAGAAGCATAACTATGTCCATAGAGATTTGGCAGCGAGGAACATTCTGGTTGGTAACAATAACACTGTTAAGGTGGCAGATTTCGGTCTGTCACGGGCCATTGATGAAGACATCTATGAAGCCCATGAAGGAGCAAAATTCCCCATTAAATGGACTGCGCCAGAGGCATGCCTTAAGAACCAGTTTTCCATCAAGTCAGATGTGTGGTCATTTGGTATTCTACTGACAGAACTGGTAACTTATGGAAGAGTTCCCTATGCAGGGATGAATAACAGACAGGTACGATCTAAAAATAGTTGTATATATATATCTTATTAGCCAAGTGCGAGGGCTGTACTGGGAGAATATTGGCCCGAGGTCTTGACAGTACGGACCGAGCATAGCTCGGTTCGTACAAAAAGGACCGAGGGCCAATATTCTTCCAGTACGGTCCCGTGCAAGCTTGGTTAGTGAGAGACTTATTACACGACTGAAGTTCAAAGGGACACAAGTGCAGTATCATTCAGGACCATTCGGGACAGTGCCCCGTCCAATACTGAGAGAATATTAACCGGCAATAGAGCATTTTGATTGGTTGATTTTAGTTATTGGCCCTCTGACTGCCCGAGTCGTGTAATAATATTGAATATGAAACGTTTCTATTATGGTTGGGTTTCAGGTGACGTCACAAGCTTTGCTGAAGTTAGTGTCCGCCATGTTGGTGTCCCTCGGGTGTCTTATTTACTTATATTTTTAGGTTGAGAAACCACAGACTGTTGGCTTGTCGCATGACACTGCAGACATATGGGAAATATCACGTGACTCAATCAGACTTACCACACGTCTTGGATCTGGCAACTTTGGTGAGGTGTGGCAAGGGTTATGGAATGACACCACTCCTATTGCTGTCAAGACATTGAAGCCTGGCACAATGAATCCCAAGGCATTCCTTGAAGAAGCTGAACTCATGAAGAGACTGATCCATGACAAACTGGTTCAGCTTTATGCAGTGTGCTCTAAAGAAGAACCAATTTACATTGTGACTGAGCTGATGCCAAAAGGAAGTCTACTTGATTATCTGCGCAGCGAAGAGGGACGAAAGAAGAAGATGGAAGAGCTGATTGACATGTCTTCCCAAATTGCTGCTGGCATGGCTTATCTCGAGAAGCATAACTATGTCCATAGAGATTTGGCAGCGAGGAACATTCTGGTTGGTAACAATAACACTGTTAAGGTGGCAGATTTCGGTCTGTCACGGGCCATTGATGAAGACATCTATGAAGCCCATGAAGGAGCAAAATTCCCCATTAAATGGACTGCGCCAGAGGCATGCCTTAAGAACCAGTTTTCCATCAAGTCAGATGTGTGGTCATTTGGTATTCTACTGACAGAACTGGTAACTTATGGAAGAGTTCCCTATGCAGGGATGAATAACAGACAGGTACGATCTAAAAATAGTTGTATATATATATCTTATTAGCCAAGTGCGAGGGCTGTACTGGGAGAATATTGGCCCGAGGTCTTGACAGTACGGACCGAGCATAGCTCGGTTCGTACAAAAAGGACCGAGGGCCAATATTCTTCCAGTACGGTCCCGTGCAAGCTTGGTTAGTAAGAGATTTATTACACGACTGAAGTTCAAAGGGACACAAGTGCAGTATCATTCAGGACCATTCGGGACAGTGCCCAGTCCAATACTGAGAGAATATTAACCGGCAATAGAGCATTTTGATTGGTTGATTTTAGTTATTGGCCCTCTGACTTCCCGAGTCGTGTAATATAGTGTAGTAATGAAGTTAAATTGGCTTTGTTAGAGTAGATTCCAATTTATATTGAATGAAGCTCCAGGGAGTATTGTTACTCCCCTTTTCAGAATGCCAGTATATCACTGGTCACGTGCAGCAAGTTACTAGACCTTCTAATTTACAGTCCAGCACACTGCCTTTACAACAATTGATTTCCCCTTTAGACAGTTTACTATTTAGCTTGGCTCTGTTAAAACAGAAAGTTCTTAATTCATCTTTGTTGGTGTAGGTTGTTGAAGAAGTAGACCGTGGTTACAGAATGCCCAAACCAAACCTTTGCCCAGACAAGCTCTATGATATCATGATGGCCTGCTGGAAAAAGGAATATGTAGAACGACCCACATTTGAAACTCTGCAATGGCAGCTGGAAGATTTCTATCAGACAGATTCGAAGCAGTACAAGGAGTTGGCAAAATAATGGTTTTCCATGACAATGTTATCCAATCCCTTGCAAAAAATACTATACAAAATCATCTGTTAAAATTTTTTTCAAGAACGGATGTGAAATGTGTAGGAAAGGAAGTAGTTTTCCATTTAAGTATCACTATTATGTTACTTTTTTTGCATTATTGTCAATGTGCTGTAAACAACTGGCTAGTTTTATCTGTTAACTTAATCAGATTGCAAATTTTACTTGCATCTACAAAACATAATTAGGATAACTTGTTCGCACAAAATCAGGAATATAATGCCAAACAACAACAGTTGCTTTCTTCCTAATCAAATTAACCCTTAAGATATGTTTCCAGAAAAGTTGACCACCTTTTTAAGTAACCAAGGACAGAATCTGAAATTAAAGTACATTTGAATTTCTTGAGCAGTGATTTGTGGAAAAATATTATATATTTTCTTTTTTATTATTTTTAGAAGTTTCGAAGTTAGAATAAGTCACCAGCAGATAAAGAAAAACAATTTTTTTATAAAAATTTTGGAAGCCTTGGGATATGAACACTTTGGCTGTCAAGAAATCAACTTTTTCTACTATGTACATGTAATGGGAAACTATGGCAAATAAATGACAACATGAAATGCTTTTAATTGGTGATAAGGTATTTGCTTAAATACAGGTACAGATTGAACTTACAATGATAACAAAGTGACTCTAGGTGTTTTGTGGATATATATATAGAGCAGCAACACTGTACAACCAATTCCAAATTATTGCAAGATTGCCAAATGGTTTCTTACATTGATATAAAGGCCAACATTATGGGAATTGCATGAGATCTCCACCTTAATATTACAACACAGTTTAACCATGAAAGACTGGTTACACTGTAAATCACTATTGCAACTCTTAATGAGGCTTCCATTTGTTAACTTAGTGGGGAAATGTTGGTAATTGTTGTATGTCTTGGTTGCGAGATATCAAAGTTGTATATTAACAGTAAGTTTAGCCGAGTTTCAAATTTGACTTCACTTTATAATTGTGTATTTCATTTCATGAAAACAATCATATCACAAGTCACTGGGGCAGCCATTACCACTGATACCAAATTAAGTAATTACAAACATACAGACAATTGATTGTATAATTGTTCTCTGACTGTCCAAGTTTTTCTTGTCAGTTTGTTTTTTTAATTACAGTTGACAGACAAATGTTGAAACTTATTGAGTCTTAACATTGTTAGTTGCATGAACTGAATATTCACATTTGATATTATTCAACCGAGCATTTAGGATTTCATTGTGGGGAGAAGAAAATGTAAAAACTGACCCACTAAGATTACAAGAAGAGTAAAATTAATACAGCTTGTAGGAGCAAATGAGCAACTTGACTTGCTGTCTCAATATGTGCAAAGTTGCAAGAGATTTATTTTACTGTTCATACTACAAATTTTAAGCAAGGCATTTTGTCTTGCATTAAATTTCCTCACCTTATCCAGTTTAATACATAAATTAAAACTAGTTGAGTCAATACAAAGGTAGAGAAAATTGTCTTCAATGTTTTGCATTTATGCTGATTGCTCATGTTTTGATCCTGAAGTCAACCATGTCTTGGGTTCTTTGGTGAGAGTAAGAGTAAGAGCCCAATTACAATTGGTATCAGTAGAAGTTTGTACATGCTCTCTTCAACTATCACCAGTCAAACTTGACTTGGCACAATGCTGTCAGTATCAGAATTATATGGGAAGGGACCTTGTATGTAATTATATCTTTTCATATTTACTCAGTTTTTTTATGTTATAAGTCAATCATAAGTTTGCAGAGAAATCTATAAGATTTAATAAGTAAAGTATAAATAATTTAGGAGAATAAAATAGCATTTTTAGTTGTTTGCTTTTTTTTTTTTTTTTTTATTTTCAACTATGCCATGTTACTTCACCAATACAGCAGCAGCTGAGGCATCTTATAATAAGAGATAACATTAGTACAACATATACCAAAGTTTAATAGTGAGCTACCATTATTGGAAATTGCTATTTCCATTTGTTTATTTTTGTATCAGGCTGTAAATAAAAGAATCTTTAATATTTTGTGTTTTTCCTCCTGAATTTTTCAAGGCAATTATTCTATACAAACTAATTTTACTGCTGAAAGGATAAAAACAATTATTGTGTGAGTGAACTAGCTGAAAAAAGAAATACTTTCCTTTCCTTTGCATGAGGCCTTGTAAGGCAATGTTCTTTCCATGTCAACCTCAAATTTATTTGATCTGGTAGAAGCATGACCTCAATTCCTGATTCTCACCCCCCTCTAACCCTCAGCCCTTACCCCCTTCTCCCTCAACCTTTTAATAGATCTGTCAGTTTGACATGGCAGCAGCTTGACCACCAGTATCTTTGTAGAGGTGATTTCATGTGTAAGAATTTATATTAAAGGAAAAAGAGCGTAACAAACATTCCACATGTCCTTCCATTTAAGTACATTGACTTCATTTATAGACTAAGTTTAAAAGACCAAGACTGGCATTTAAAGCCAATTCTGAACTGAATGGTTTTACATTATGTGCCACACTTGCTAAAGTAGAATTTAACTTCTTTTCTTTACTTTCTTATTGAAATACTGTGAGGTTTGGAAAAGGCCCTAGTTATCAAGATTTGTAGGAGCTGAGACAATATTTGGAGTGGTTTCTTTTTCAGCACCAGGCAAGACTACCTTTGGGTAGCAAAATGTTCTTCTTAAAATGGTTGTGATACATTACTAACATACTATTATTAGGAGAGTAAAGCAGATCTTAAAGTCTAAACCTGACAGTGTTTAACAACTAAATGAGTTCCTATTGTGACAGATCATGGTGGCAAATCATCCAACCACTTGCAAAGAATGCCTTTCGATACAGGTTATCATGCATTTGAACTTCACATCTATGAATGCTTCTGTTGAACATCAAGTGGAACAGGTTTCACTTAGCATTCACATCAGCATACATCTTTTACTCCAATGTCAACAACACAGGGGAAGGTAATACAGACATTTGAGCTCAAGTCAGGTTCAACGGGCACCATTATGCACAGTTCAAACAGGCATTGCTTGTTCAAAAGATATGTACTGTCCTCTTGGAGATCTCTTTCTTGGTTTGTAAATATAAACTGCCATTGCAACAAACAAAACAAACAGTCCAACACCAATCCCTACTGTCAAATCTGAAATTTAATAATTTATTAATAAATAAGCCACATTAGGTAGGTACAGATTGAGTCTTTCAAGACTAGGCACCAACTTTGGATGGAGGTTTTCCCACTTTCCATAAAATTAAGTGACAGGGAGAACTTACTACAAACTAGTCCATTTCCGGTAACCCTCTCAACAATTCTGTCCATTGGTTAACTTCGATATTAATGGGTAGAGAGAGGAACTTAGAGACAAAATAACAACATCACCTAATGACTTTTCCAAGGCTCACATGCCAACCTGTTGGTCCGCAGTGAATTGTGCCAAACACCAGCCCACCCTATCTACCACAGGGGTTGGCAGCAGTTCCCAAAAGTAAGATACTGACAAACAAAGTCCAACCTATTACTCATTATCATTCGCTAACAATCTGATTACGAAATAGATTCCATGTTACTGTGCATCTGTAGATGATATATCACATGTGATGTCAAAATGTCGTGAGTACAAAAAAGCGGCGCATAAGGCACAGCCAAATGCCTCACTGATGGTCTTACCACATTCTGATGTTTTCTGGGACCTATTACTGTAAAGAGCCACTGCAACATAAAATCTACTTGCTTTATATGAGAAAAGAGCAAAATTTTTCTAGAGGTGAAATCAGTTACATGTCTGTCTACCATTATATCATAAACAAGAACCAATCAAAATGCATGTGGGATTCAGCTTATCATATAATGCCTACAAACAAATTACTCTAGAGAGTTTCGTAGAGTGTCAAGCTTTTGGCTCATCATCTGTTTCGTGCATAACGTATCAATATTGTGGAGAGAGGTTACATATTACAGTTGTCACATATACGTTAATATAGGATTTCATGGGCAAGGGGACACACTCTCCCTTCCCCTCCAATAGCGGGAGATTTATCTAACACCCTAGGACCCCTTTATACCTAATAGGCCTCGCGTTTCTTCCCTGCCATCGTTAATACCATCATTTCATTCTGGACATAAAAGGGAAAGATTTCCATATAACCCATACATACATTAAGCATTCCACTTCATAAAGACTGAATATAACGGTTTCTTTGCAACACTCTATGCATAATCAATGTATGGGGTTATATGGAAATCTTGTCCATAAAAGCTCCCTCTCAAATTTGTCTCGGGTTAACACGATAGAAAACATTGTTGTAAGCCCCGGAAATAACCGTTGTTTTTCTTACCAAGTTTTGGTTTTCCGACAACTGTGTTGCTATCTCTTTGGAAACCTGAGTCAGCAACTGTTTCTACATAACTATGAAAGGTTATTAGAGACAAAAGCAGATTAATTCGTAGACTGTATCCGTTTTTCTGCCACATACTCGATGTTTGTGGTGTCTCGTTGTTTCCTGTCGTATGTCATGTATGAGACACAATGTATTGCATAATTCACGAAAGAGACTGGGACATACGGGATATCGACTTCTCAAGGTTTATCCGGGAATGCAGGTTAGAGAAACATGGCCGCCTCACTTCGTATATTGGCGAAAGGGAAGTTGTCTACGATGCAGCCGGCTTTGAGAGCAATTATAACTAGAACATGCCCCGTACTTCTCTCTCGGGTACTCTCTGTAACAAGTAAGTGCGGTAGAAATCTCTTTGTAGCATGCCTGGTGTGAAATAGTAGTCAATATTTATCGAGGGTTCACCTTCCATTTTGCCTCCGTGCCGGGTCTCGTATTCGCCAGAAAATCACGACAGATATATCTGTTAACTGGAATGTTTATTGAACTTTCGTGTGTCAAATTTAAACGTTCGAGCTTTGTGCGCCTCTTCAATTCCGTGAAAAAAGAAAGGTTGGATAGCTTTGAGGAGACGTGAAAAGTGTCATGTACCGTTGCTACTAATTATCAGTGTTTATCGGTTAAATACATAGATTTCATCGTACACTTAACCTGTTTGTTGCATTTTTTAACTACACAAGTTAATTCATATTACAAAGTGTTTCATTACAGGGTATTGATTAAAAGATCAACTGAAAAAACATGAACCCATTACCCATCTCCACCAGCCCCCCCCCCCCTCCAAAAAAAAAACAGGGATACCTAGCTCTTTGTCTTAAATTATTCATACTAAGTGAAGAACAGTCATCATAAAAACACAACTTAAATAGCCATGATTTTGCAATTATTCTGTTGCATAATAGCCATTGCCAAAAATGGCATTCAAAAGTTTCTAGATTTCACATCACTTTGGGGAGTATGGCGCCAAACCACCGAAAATGTTGGCTCTTAAGCATTTTTGTCCTAGCAAGCTATCTTTTCTCACCAAACCATCCATGTTGGAAGTTTCTGACAGCCCTCTGGTAAATGGGTTTATTCTGCAATGTTTAACTCTTTTAATAGCAATATTTGTCAGAAGTCATCCCGTATTGATATTTGATGTTGGGTGAATTGAAGTTATCAGTTGTACACTTTAATTTATCAGGCACTAGGCTGAGCAATGGTGGCATACCAACTGATGCAGAACAAGCCACAGGTTTAGAGAAGAAAGAATATGATGCTTTGGCTGCTGGTATTGATGTAAGTTTGCATTAATTTTTGTTGTTGTAACCCCAAGGTCATTCAGTATGTCATAGGATCACAAACTTTGCATCACAACTCGCAATATTGAAGATGTGAATATGGTGTCCTTGACTTATGACAAGTAGCCATTTGGCAATCTTAAGGTAGACAGTGGTCCTTAGAAGTAAATCGTGGATCTCCAATGAGCAAAATGGATGCTCAGCCTTACTAATCATTATGGGAAGTTCACACAACAACTTAGCTCATCAGTAAAAAGAAGCATAGTTAAAGGTAACAGGAAATTTCTGTTTTTATTTTAATGTTTTTCTTGCGTGATCCTAAAAAATGTAATTGCATGCAACTTGTTGGTAAAACACAGGTTTTAAGGTGATTTTCAGGTGCAAGTTCTAAGAATTTTTTCCTACTTGCCTTGATAACAAACTGGGAGAACTCTAGGCACGTGCACTCAAAATAATACTTGTGGAAAATTGTGCAAACTTTTTATAGTCATAATACATGTGTGGTCATTATTTTAACCAACAGGATCCATTTAACATGAAGCCTTATGAAGGGCCACCTGGAACAAAAGACAAACCTCTTGAAGTGTTGTCCATGTTTGATGAGCGAATTATTGGATGCATCTGTAAGTGCATATATTCTTCAATGAGAGATTTTTCTATAGTTAAGGCTGTTATCAAATTCATTTCTGTAGTTGCCATACCTCAGGATAAAACTCTAGGTTATTGTTGATAATTTTTAGAACTAATCAACCTCATTTACATGATCATTTTCTCTAAGAAAAATATATCAAAAATGAACCCAAATCTAAAGTGTCACAATGATGGTTACGTTTGAAAATGTACCGGTAACTATTGACATATCACAGTAAGCATACTATGCATTGTTAGAAACATTTCTGCTTTAAGGGAATACCAAATGAAGTTGTAAATTTTGGAAATAGCCCACAATCAATATGAATGTAAGCCTTCCCAGAAAACTGGGTCAAGTGGAGCTATATAGGCCTATGGGTAACCTTTCTGTGGAATATGAAGTTAAAAAGTGGTAAAATTCCCTCCAGAAATGCTTCAGAGTTGTCAAACCAATGAGATTTGGAATTTTAAAATTGAGCTTGGAAATGGTGTGGCAGACTTGGTTTACTTGACACATCCAAACATGTTGAACATAGGCAACTGATTCATGCCAAGGTTGTAAGGTTGTGACAGCCACAGTATCCTTTGATGACTAAGAATTCACTTTTTTTATTTTAAAGTTAAACTATGTTTTTACTCCTGTGTATAGGTGAACCAGAGGCAACTTCAATTGTGTGGAACAAACTACACTTAAATGAAGTAAAACGCTGTGAATGTGGGCACTTTTTTGTCCTTAGACGAGGCAACCCAATTAAAATTGAGATGGACCATGACCCTGGTCACCATTAGCACTTGTATCAAGATTTTCTTTTCAGTCCAATTGTAACTAAATTCTAATAAGGAGAGTATGCATTTTGTGTTGTATGCTGATGTTTTACAGTTTTTCTCTTGGTATTATGGTATTCAACAACTTCAGCTTCTTCCTGGGCTTCAGCTCTTTAAATTGTAAGAACATTTGTTGTCATGATTTTTTGATTGCAATTAAAATCACCAATTTTAAAACAAATCACTACCTCGCCTGTGATGGGTTATGTCATCTATAGAAGTTTTTTGGGTGGGGAAGGGAGCATGTATCCAATTGAAATTACACTATTACACTATCTTAGAAGCAAAACCTTTATGATTTTTTGGCAACAAGTTATTGCATGATTTGTATTGTGACAGCTGTTTTGAATGCAAGGAGTGCAGAGAAATATGCAGCAAGGAAAACAAAACTTGGAAACCCCATTGCCCAAAGGCAAAAGTTGGAATGTAAAGTTGTTCTACAAGATATTGAAAATGGTACATTTGCTTAATTTTCTGGGGGAGGAAATTACACCATGGCTTATAAGATGTGGTGGTGTGACAAGGAAGATTCCCCAGAAAACAAGTCTTGAGTTTCTCAAAATCATTTTGACACGTTTTGGAATTTTCCAAAACTGGTTTGACTTTTGGTGAGAATAGAGATTACGGACCAGCTGATGGGCTGAGAACTTGACTCATGATTGACTTTAAGTTATTGAAATAATAATAAAAGAAATTTAATTATAAAAGCGCAAGGTGAATCCGATTTCAGAGAGTTTTAAACCGTCCTTAACCTTGGTGAACAAAAAACTGTCACACGGTCACGATTTAAATGCAGTGACAAAGGAACCTGTTTACTTTGAAATTAAACGATTGATTAACTCTAAACAATACAAGTGTCCTGTATGCTCTCTACCGGTTTCTGTTCACAGCTGAGTTAGTTTGTAAACTAGATTGAAGTATGGCGCAGATACATTTTTTCTCCCTGTTTGTGTTTATTTTTCAAATGTAAGTAAGGCATTTTCTGAATGACCCTGTCGCTTAGATTCTGAAGTTTTAACGGGACTTGAAGTCTTAAATCTTATTTTGGATAGGATATATGATCAAAAACCATCTGAGAAGCGTTATCAACCCTCTGTTGATAATTCTGCTCTGGCAAATTCATTTGCTGATTTCTTTGTTAACAAGATTGATAAAATTCGCTCCAAACTTATTCAGAGGAATATCATTGTAGGGCCCTTTCGTCCAATACCATTAACATGTCCTGTGGAGTTCAATAACTTTAGAGAGGTTGGCCAAGAGGAACTAAAGGTGTTCAATAACTTTAGAGAGGTTAGCCAAGAGGAAGTAAAGGTTTTCAATAACTTTAGAGAGGTTAGCCAAGAGGAAGTAAAGGTGTTCAATAACTTTAGAGAGGTTAGCCAAGAGGAAGTAAAGGTGTTCAATAACTTTAGAGAGGTTAGCCAAGAGGAAGTAAAGGTGTTTGCCTTTAAGCCCTCTTCTAAGTCATGTGTCTTGGATCCTTTACCTGCAATAGTTCTCAAGGGCTGTTTGTTTCTCGGTGTTGCTACCTACAGTAACTAAGTTTGTCAATTTCTCTCTCTCAACT